AAACAAAACAAAACAAAACAAACAAGGTACCACTGTATCAAATGCTGTTGGAACAGCTAAAAAGAAACAGAAAAAAGAAAAGAAAAAGAAAAGAAAGAAAAAGAAAATTGTCGTTATAATTTTTGTTTTGTTTTGTTTCACATGAATTCATTTACGAAAACATTTTGTTGTTTTCGTTGTTGTCGTCGTTGTTATTGTTTTAGTTTTTAGTTTTGTTTCAAAAATTCTCAAATATGGCAATATATTTGTTTGCCATTTGTTAATCAGCAACATCGACAACAGCAGCAAAATCAATCAATCAGTTAAAAATTTGGTAAGTCAATTCATGACAAAAGAGAAAAAAGAAACAGAGAGAAAAAGAATTAAGGTTAAACAAAACAAAACAAAACAAAGGCGCCAAAATGATAGAGAAAGAGTAAGAAAAGAAAACTGGAATCCCAACTGAAACAGAAAAAAAACCAGATTTTTTTTAACCCTCAATTTAACCAAACAAAGTTACCGGTTTCAACTCAACTTTTCAATTCCATCTCCTTACCTGTTGTCGTCGTCGTCATCTTCATTTTCAACATTGACATGAATTTTTTTTTTTGTTTTGTTTTGATTCGTGTTTTTTTGTTCAATGATAATTCATGTCGTTTTCAAACATAAATTATTGTCATCATCATCATCATCATCATCAGCAATTAATCAATTAATCATCAAGGTTAAGGTTATCTCCAAAGAAAAGCAAAAACAAAATTCTTTTCGAAAAAAAAATCGAATAAAAATTTAGGTCAAATAAATATAGGTTGTTTGTGCGTTTGCGTATTTCGAATCCAAAACAGCGAAATAGAATTCGATCAATCAAGATTCTTTTCTCCCATCAATATCTAACCATTTTGTTTTTCTTTTTTTCTCAAAGATTCCATATGAATTGAATTTTCAGTTGAAGAAAAAGATGGAATTATCTACCAACACCGATGACGACATGGATAAATCGAAACTAAATTCAACAACAACAACAACTACCAATCATCAAGATGATAATAATGATGATCAATTTACAATAACACCACCAATATCACATAGTGAACATATTATTCTAAATGAACGTATGGCTATTGTTGGTAATGATAATATTGATATTATAATCGATGATGATGATGATAATAATGATAACTGTGATAATCAGAATTTTGTAAAAAACAACAATAACGATAATGTTGATAAAAATGATGCTGATAATGATGAAATTGAACATTTTAATCAATGGATTTATTGTATAACGGTTGTTAATTTTGATATCGAAATTGGTCAATCGATTGAGGTAAAATTTGAAAAAAAAATTCTATTCTGATTGATTGATTCAATTTTTTTCTTCCTGTAGTGTATATATCCAAAAGGTGTACAATTGACTGAAAAAGAGGTAAATTCAAATTTATTTTTGAAAAAATCGATTATAAAAAATGATTGATTTTTCTTTTTTTCATTACAGATGTCAAATATTTGTTATTTATCATTTCCTGATTCAAATTCTGGTTGTATGGGTGATACACAATTTCATTTTCGTACAAAATGTTGTACAAAATTAGCTAAAATACGAACAAAATATGATGATTATTTTAAAGATTATAATTCAAAATGTTTATCATTACTACAGGTGAATATATTGCCAAAAAAAAATTTATCAAACAATTTAATTAATTTGGGATTTTTTAATCAATTCGATTCAATTCAATAGGTGGATAAATCATATTTTTATGGTTTTGTTTATTTTCGTCAAGTAAAAGATCGTAATGTACGTCGTGGTTATTTTCAAAAATCATTAGTCATATTAACATGGTTTCCATTCATATCATTTTATCAACGTATAATGAAAATATTGGCACCAAAATATTTTGATTTTGGTCTACCATCATTGGAAGCTGGTATTTTGTTTATATTTTTATTCTGTGAAAAATTTTCAATTTTTTTTCTATTTCCACATTTTTAGCATGTGGTGATATAAATCGTTGGCCAAAACCAGAACCAGATCAGATAACTAATCTACCATTATTTGGTCAAATAACACAGGTATTAATACCAGGTGAACGACATTCATCGTTAATGTGTCAAACAACGGCAACAAAATCTGAATCAATTTTGATTGATCAATCACAATCGAATGGAAAATCATGTTCATCATCATCAGCATCGACATCATCGAATAATAATGGATCATTATTGAAAACATTTTCATTATCAAGATTAGCGAAAAAATCTCGACATCATCATCATCATCATTCTCACCATCATCATAATCATCATCAAAATCGTCATAATCATAATGAAGAATCTGCATCCACATCCACATCAATAGATCAATCATCATCATCAACATCATCAACGATAATAAATGTTGCAAATGATATAAATATTTATCGAAATTTATTACCAATAATAACACATATACAATTATTATGGGAATTAGTATTGACAAATGAACCTATTGCTGTTATAACACAAACACCAAATGTTTGTTCAGAAATTGTTAGTGCATTGATTGCATTGATTGCACCATTACGTTATGGTGCTGATTATCGTCCATTTTTTACTATACATGATTCAGAATTTAAAGAATATACAACACATACAAAATCACCGTAAGTTTTCTTTCATTTGACTTTTTTCTTGAATTTTAAAGCGATTTTTTTTCGGTTTTCCTCTATAGACCGCCTGTAATATTAGGTGTTACAAATCCATTTTTTGTTAAAACATTACATGATTGGCCACATTTAATTAAGATTAATGAATTTTCATCATCATCATCATCATCATTAACATCGGGTAATGATTCAGATAATTCGATGCATAATCAACAACAACAACAAAATGGAAATTTAAATATGAAAAAATTTTCACAAACAATTGATCAAGTTTTACGAATCAATACGAAAAGTTTAGATCTAAAAACTGGTGTTTATACAAAATATAAACCATTTTTACAAAAAGATCGTGATATATTGAAAAAATTATTAAAAGGTATTGATACAAATCGTCCATCTGAAGTACAAAATATAATGTTAAGAAGATTTTTAATTGAATTAACACAAAGTTTTTCAATACCATTGGAACGTTATTTTGCTAGTTTAATGCCATTAGCAAAAAATTTATCACCATTTAAACGACCACCAATATTACATCATTTTAAAATAGAAGAATTTATAAATAGTTTAGATACAACTGGACCACAATTAACATCATTAGTTAAAGGTGATTGGAATGGTCTTTATCGTAGATTTTTACGTTCACCAAATTTTGTTTGTTGGTATAGTAGCCGTTTGAATGAAGCAACACAAAAATTACAAACATTACATTTAGAAAAAATTTGTGATACAAATTTATCAAATCTTTTAAATGATAAACATGAAATTGAAATTGTTGATTTAATTTTAAAATTAAAAGATAATATTAATTTTGTTACAAATAGTAATATTAATGATAATAATAATATTACAACTGAAATGATTGAAAAATTACAACAAAATATGGATAAAATTATTGATAAATTACCTGAAGATTCACGATCATTATTTATTAAACAATAATTATTACTACTTTTAATTTAAAAACATAAAAAAATACATAAATTGAATGTGAATGTGATATATTCCAGGTACAACAACAACTAAATCTTTCATTCATTCATTCACCTTTCACACTGAACATATGTTATTATCATTATAATTTTTATTAATAGAAACTCTTTTATTACTCAATTTTTTTTATAAAAAAAAGAAAAGAAAAAGAAAATTATATTTTAAAAGAAATTCTCAATTTTTTATTATTATTATTTTTGACGAAAATTTCATCCCAATTTTTGCTCATCAACCGGATTACCTGTTTATCGTTTTTTGTTTCTTTTGTAAATTTTCTAATTAATAAAAATCAATTTTAAAAGTTTTTAAATATTGATTTTTGATTGATTTTCAATCGATCAAATGTGGCTCCAGCAGAAAAAATGAACTGAAAATCTAGATTAATAAGCAAAACTTGTTTTTTTTGTTTTTGTTTTGAACAAACGAAAAATTCGTAGAAATTTTTTATGCCAAAACATCCTTGTATCCATTTCATTTCATTTTCAGTTTTAGTTTTTTCTCTCGTCGAATATTGAAAATCGAAAAAAAAACGCTAAATGTCAATGACGATAACAAGGCAAACAGAGGCAAACAAACTAAAGTGAGTTTTTTTCGTTCTACGTTATTATCGTCGTCGTCGTCGTTGTTGTTGTTATTATTGATCAGATCACACGTAGTATCCATCCATCCATCAATCAATCAGTAGTATATTTTCATTTGATTGCATCATTTATTTGATGAAGGAAAAACCATCATCATCATCATCATCAACATTAATCGATCGAATCGATCGATAGATGAAAACATTCATTGAAATAAATGAAAAAAGCAACAAGTATTTTTCTTATTGTTTGATCAAATAATTTGATGATTTGTACCCTGTAAATAGGAAGATTGTTTGTTTGTTTTTTGAAAATTTTCTTCGATTCTGAATTCATGTCAACTGTGAATTGTGAATTGTGAACAGTGAAAGTTTATTGATTGAAACAACAGACAATGTCAACAATGTTAATACGTTCAGTATCGGATTCGGAATTATTTCCATCATTCAGTAGTATTAATCATGATGATAATCAATCAATAATGTTACGATTGAATTCAATACAAACATCAAATGATGATAATGATGATTATCAACAACAAGATTTAACTAACCAGAATCATCAACAGAATTGGCAATTATTATTTAGAAATTCATGGCCACAATTAATCAATGAACAATCAATAATGAATGATGGTAATAATGATGGTAATGGTATTGATGATAATTTTAATGAAGATCAAATGTTATCACCACCAAATTATCATCAAATTTGTGTTGCTGATTTAATTTCGCTCAAGTAGGTCAAAATTGTTTTCTGTTTCTGTTCTTAATTAATCAAATGATTGATCGATTTTTTTACACTGCAGTAATTTTCAACGAAAACAACAACAACAACAACAATCATGTTCATCGGGTCAAAATTCAATAAATTCATCATCAAGATCATTTTGTCGTTCAATGACATGTTTATCAAGATTATCATCAACCGAATTTAATCAACAACAATCAACATCGACAACATTATTACCAATATGGTCAAAACAACTTATTGATGATATTGATTCAATACGACGTGAAAATTTTCTATTAACAAGTACAGTATTAAAAAATAATGATGATATTAAACAATTATTAAATAAACAACAACGTTTACAACAAACATTAAAAGAATTATCAAATGATTATCGTAAATCGGAAAAGAAAAATATGGATTTAGAAGAAAAATTACAATTAAATATGAAAGAAATTAAATTAATTTATGATGATTTTGAACAATTAAAACGTACTGTTATAAAATTACAAAATAAAATGAATCATTATGGTTTAGAATCATTACCAACATCACCATCAATTTATCCACAATCATCATCGACATCAACAACATCAGGATTCGATTTATCATCACCACCATTATCTTCAACAACATCGACATCGTATGGTGATGATAATAATCAACAACAACAACTAACAAATCAACTAAACAAACGTTTAGAATTAATTGAAGAAAAATTAATAAAATTAACAAATCAAAATCAAGATATGAATCAATATTTAGAACGTTGTTTAAGAGATGTACATTTAGATGAACAAGATTTAAATAGAAAAATTGAACAACGTTTACAATATATAACCGATATGAATCAATTATTACAATTAAAATTAAATATGTTAGAAACAAAATTTGGTGAACATATTTTATTAAATCCATTATCCATACCATTACCATTGAAAAGATTGTCATCATTATCATCAAATTCAAATGGACAACAAACATTGATGGTCAATGAATTAAATCCAGTAGCAACAACAACAACAAAACATCAATCCGATTATTTAGCAACAAAATTAGCATATGATCAAATGTCAACAGCAACATTATCATCGGTTATATTTTCCGGTAATAATAATCAATCTTCTAAACAACAACAACAATTTGAAATGATTAATCAACCATCATCATCATCATCATCATCAGCAGCAGCAGCAAAAACAATAGCCTATGTACAGCCGAATGTACGAAAATCAACAGCGATTCCAATTCAATCATTACAACAACAACAACAGCAGCAATCAACAACGATTCAAAGATCGATTTCGACGGATGGACCAACATCGAATCTAAATGATGATCATCAAACTGATAATAACAGTAACAGTAATAATAGTGAACATCATTCATCACGTCGTTGTCGTCGTCATCATCGTATACGGCTATTTTCACATCGACGACGACATTGATAAAAAAAATCTGAATTTTTTCCTCTATTTTGAATTTTTTTGAAAAATTAAAAATTACAATTTTTTTCCTCGTAACAAAAAAACTTTTGATTACGTGCACGCGCGCTGAATTTTTTCCAACCAAAAAAAGGTCATTCCACTATGTTTCATTGTCATGTCAACAAGAATAAAGTAAAAAAACTGGATCAATAATGATGACATTTGACCGGTTATCAAATGAAAATGAAATGAAATGTGTGTTACATTTTTACGCAGCTCTATTAAGTGTCATTTTATTAACACTAATACACACACACACACTATAGAGTACATTGACTTTTGAAATGTTACCGTTATCCCACTAACTATCCCCGTAATACCACTACCATTAAAATGATGATGATACACATCCATCCACCCAGCCAAATAATGATTGTCGGCTATCGACGGAATATAAATGGAAAAATGGAAATTCCGGTTAACGCGTTCGCTACCAGCGACGCATATATGCGTCGTTTATTTGCTGTAGTTCTATGTGTTTTTCGAAATCTCCGGTAGCGAACGCGTTAATAATNATACACACACACACACACTATAGAGTACATTGACTTTTGAAATGTTACCGTTATCCCACTAACTATCCCCGTAATACCACTACCATTAAAATGATGATGATACACATCCACCCAACCAAATAATGATTGTCGGCTATCGACGGAATATAAATGGAAAAATGGAAATTCCGGTTAACGCGTTCGCTACCAGCGACGCATATATTCGTCGTTTATTTGCTGTAGTTCTATGTGTTTTTCGAAATCTCCGGTAGCGAACGCGTTAATAATATTGACGTTTATGATGGCCATCATTATTATTCAATAATCATATTTGTTGTTTGATGATGATAATGTTTGGTATATTTTAGATAAACGAGTTTTTTGGTTTTTTGGTTTTTTCTGGTTTATCAACCAGAATCGGAATAATTTTTTTCATTTCGTTCGGGTGATGATGAAAACCCCACCTTTTATATATACAATGTAGAATTGCAAAGTAAAATTCCACTACCACCGCTTCTGATGATGATGCTACTACTACCACCATTCAGAATAAAGAATCAAGAATGGCGCTGATGATTGTAATGTAAAGAATTCTGCTGGTACTAAAGAATGGAGTAGTGGTAGATTTTTTTCAATCAAAAAACAAAAAAGTAAAGAATTCTATTATGGATGATGATGAGTATAGAATTTTTATTTTTTTCCACAAAAAAAAAATAACTAAAATTCATGGCTGAAAGAAAATTCTATTCAATTCAATGAAATTAACATCATCATCTTTTCGTTTGTTTTTGCTTATTGAAAATTGATTTTGTTTTTTGTTTGTTTGTTTGTGTTTTTCATTTCAGTTAAAAGTTTTAGTTTTTTTAAAAAAAATTCAATGCTTCCAAATCAATAAATTTTTCTGTGTAAAATGCCTCATCGACAACGACAAAAATCAAATTTTCAACAAAATATTTAAACAAAAATATTGCGAAAATGCTTGAAAACAACAACAACGATAATAATAAATTATCGATAATAAAAATGTATAGAAAAAATCCAATAACGATAATTATAAAAACAATAATAATTATAATGATAATTACAATACAACAACCAAAACAAAATGAATGTGCAATAATTGATGAATTTATTCTGGATGAAGAAATCATTCGTAATATGGTTAAAACATTCGGTCGTGAATTATCAAGTGTTGGTACGGAACAAACATGTTTAGGTAAAATTGAAGAAAATTTTCAACGTTTTAGTCAAGAAGTACAATGGTTTGATGGTAATAAAATGATGGATGATATGCGTAATGATGTTATGTATATGTTTAATTGGAAAAAACATTCAGTTGAACGTATTGCAAATGAAAGTGAACGTATTGCATCAAATCATACATATGATAAAAATATTGAAATTGATTATTATAATGTTAAAAGTATTGATTTAAAAGATGATCAACAATATTATTTACGTTCAATTGATTCAACATCCAGGCCAATTAGATTGGTGAAGAATTCAAATTTTGATAATGCATATGTTAATTTGGATCATAGTGCAATACATGTACCAATAAATGTTTATGATAAATCACCTGATGTTGTTAATGATATAAAATGGTCTGAACATTTAACACAATTTTTTAAAAATAATCTAGCATTTGATCCAAGTTTATCGTGGCAATTTTTTGGTTCGGCAAAAGGTTTTCTTCGGTTGTATCCGGCAACATCATGGCGTGAACCAAAAAATTATACCGATCGTTCGTTAATCGATTTTTATGATTGTCGTATGCGTCCATGGTATATAAAAGGTGCTGCATCACCAAAAGATATTGTTATTTTATTGGATACAAGTGGTTCAATGACTGGTGTACGTAAAAGTATTGGTCAAAGTGTTGTTGAATATATATTGGATACATTAACTGATGATGATTATGTAGCAGCGTTAAAATTTTCCAAAACAGTACAACCAATACATTCTTGTTTAGATACATTAGTACAGGCTAATCGTAAAAATATTCGTGAAATTAAACAAAGCCTAACGGATATTAAAACAAATGAATTAGTTGATTTTACTGTTGCCCTATCCGAAGCATTTACAATATTACAAAAATTTAATCGTTCTGGTTATGGTTCACAATGTAATCAGGCAATAATGTTAATAACTGATGGTGCACCTGGTACATATGAAGATGTTTTCCGGCAATTTAATTGGCCAAATATACCTGTACGTGTTTTTACCTATCTAATTGGACAAGATGCAACATCACATAATGAAGTTTATTGGATGGCATGTCATAATCGTGGTTATTATACACATGTTATGAATCGTGCTGAAGTACATGAACAAGTACAAAAATATATACCAGTAATGTCTCGACCAATTGTTTTATCAGGTGAACGTGTATTTAGTTGGACACCAATTTATGCACCAACATATGAAACTGAATTAAATGAAAATACATGGAAAAATAAACGTAAGTTTTTTGTTTTAAAAATCCAAAATTTTCGTTAGTTAATTTCATTATTTTGTCTCTGTCTTTGTTTAACAAAAAAGAAAATTATGAAAAAATTAATCGTCTTCGTGCACAGGCAAGATATGCACATGAAGAATTAATGGATAATAATTTGAATGATGATAACATTGATGATGATGATGATCAAAATAATATCGAAGATCCCGAATCAAATTCATTTACATCAACCATCGATAGTCATCGTCAAAAGCGTCAAGATGATGATAATAATCATCAACAAATGAATAATAATGGTGATGATGATGGTATAATATCAATACCATATAAACAAATACCATTACGATGGAAAAATTTTAAGAAAAAAATTTCCCTATATACAACATTATCAACACCAGTATTTGATACAAGAAATTATACAAATATAACCAAAAGAATATTAATAAAAAATGTTTATCAAGATGCTGAAATTGAAACAATACGTATTGCAAATCTATTAGGTGTTGCCGGTGTTGATATACCGATAAAAGAAATTGAAAAATTAACACCATCATTTAAACTTGGTGTTAATGGTTATTCATTTATGATTACAAATAATGGTTATTTATTAAATCATCCGGATTTACGTCCATTGGTATGTTTTGTTCATTCGTTGTTTTTTTATTTTGGTTTTTTTCTAATTTTTTTTACTCTAATTTCTAAGTTTGAAGGATTTCTTAAACCATTCTATCATTCAGTGGATATGTCTGAAGTTGAATTGGCCAACAATACACTTGGTCCAAGAGTTAGTATTTTTTTTTCTTATTCAACAAAAAAATTACAATAAAAATTTTCCTATTAGGAACCTGATCCAAATATTGAATCAATACGTGGTAATATGATCAATCGTACACAAGGTTGGAAAAAAGTTGCCGTCAAAATACATATCGATGAAATGGTTAGTATTGATTTTGATTTTGGTTTTTTCAAAATTTTTTCCTTTATTTTTTTCTGTTAAAAATAGAAACGTGTTATAACACGTATAAATCATTATACATATGGTATGATTGGTCAAACACCATTTAGTCTTGCCATTGCATTGCCCGAACCATATGGTTCATATAGGTTGACTTCACAGGTTGATCTACGTATGAAATATCGTGAAGAAAATTTCACCCATTATTTTCGTGGCAATCAATGGCGAGTACATCCTGAATGGGTAAGTGATTTTTTTGTATTTGAATTTAACCCTTAATTACTCAATCAACAAATCAAATCCAAAAAAATGATAGGCATATTGCGATAATCCACATCAAATAACCGGCCAATCATCATCACATCAATCATCATCATCATTTTCATCACCCGAAGAATCAATTTTACAATTTTTAACAAATGATTTGGAAAAACAAAATTTTCGTTGGCGTACAAGTAGTATACGGCCAAAAGTTTATGAAACAATTCTTTGTAAGTTTTGTATAAAAAAAAACCTGAGAATTACAAGTAAAATCTAAAAAAATCTAAATCGATAAACAGGTGATAAAGATCTAATACAAAGTTTAGTATTGGATGCAAATCTTACGGATATACCAACCGAAAGCTGTAGTTCAAATCCAAATTATCGAGAGTAAGTAATGAAAATTCTGAAAAATTTCCATTCAAAAAAAGTGTTAAGAACCGAACAAAAATTTGCAAAATTTTAATATTAATCCAATATCGTTATTGCCATTTTTTTTCCTCTTCAATTTGCAATTTTTCTCTTTATTGCTTCTTTGTTGCTATTTTTTTTTTATTTAAAAAATTGACTAACTTAACTAAAAAAGTCCGCTTACAATATTCATTTCGTTGATGCCAAGGTAACCAATGAAAATTTAAATTAAAATTTTTTCTTTTCTTCTTCTTCTGAATCGCTGCTCGGATGTTCAAAACAAAACAAAAAAAAAAACAATGAATGAGATTGGATCCCATCATGGAAAACTGAAAATTTTTTTGATTTTTAATTAATTTTAATCAATTTCAACAAGGGGTTTCTTTCTTTGTTGTTTTTGGCTTAAATTTCTAATTCGTTCTTTTTTTGTTTTGTTCTCTGGTTTTTTTTTTCGTTACTATTAGTGAACAACGAATCAAAACATTTGGTATTGTATCAACATTTGTTGCAACACGTAGTGGTTTAACACGTTTTAAAGATTATCGTTCAAAAGATGAAATTAAAATGTTAGATGATCTGCCATTTTATCATAAATATGATAGGTTTGTTTTGTTATAAATTTAGTTTTTTACTTTTGAATTTTTTACTTTATTAATTTTTTCCATTTTCTTAGAGCAATCGAAGAAACCTATTATAAACGTACTGTAGATTTTTATACAAATAATAAAGATGCATTTGTTTATTTTGTTGATTTTGATGCTGGTGAACAACATGAACGACGTGTTGCAACAACACATTCACGTTATGATTCAAATTTTCTTGTTACAGCAACACATGCATTGTTTATTGGTAATCTAAAACATAGTACACCAGGTAATTTTTACCTTTTACTAGTAAAAAACTTTTAATTACAAAATATTTTCAATAACTGTTTACAGTGGCTGTTGTTGGTATACAATTTCGTTATGATACATTACAAGAATTTTTCCTGAATACAACCAATAAATTTAATGTACCTTGTACACATTTAGATGTTGATTGTTATCTAATTGATAATAATGCATTTATTGTATTAAGTAATCATAAAACAAATGATGTTGGAAAATTTTTTGGACAAATTGATGGTGATATTTTAGAAGAATTAATTAATGATGGTATTTATCAACGTGTACATCTTTATGATTATCAATCAATTTGTTTGGATGCTGAAATTATTTCTGGACCATCAACTAATCCGTTTATATATTCAATTGTAAACATTATGGGAAAAATGATTAGATCATTTTTTCAATGGTTAAGTTTAATTTATTTGAATATTTTATATGGTATTGGTAATTTATGGATAAGGGATTGGTGGATAATGGCTGAAAAAACATATAATGTACGACAAGATAATTGGATGGAAATGATATCACCATTTGGTTCAGGTAAAAATTGATTGATTATTGACTATTTGCATTGGATAATGTTGATATTTTTTTTTCTCAAGAATATACAATGATTACCGATCTAGGTGATAATCAAACAATAGCACGTCCATGCGATAAAGAATTTGATCTTTATGAAATGATTAATTTTTCATTGGATGGTAAATCAAAAGATATTGTTTGTGGACAAAATCCTAAATGTTCGAGGTAAATATTTTCTTTTTTAATTTTTCCCAAGAAAAAATTAAAATTTTCCAAAAATTTTTCATCATTTTTCAAACAGAAATTATCTCGCTCAATATATACCGCATACAAATCTTTTACTAATCATATCGGTTAATAATCCAACATGTAATTGTCAAAAGAAAAAATTATCAATTGAACCAAATGAAATAAAATATAATGATGAACAACAATGTCAATTATTAAAACAGGAAAAATATCGTCGTCGTCCTTCAGGTTGTCATAATTATCATCCACAGGTATGTCATGTTTTTAAATCATAATTTAACCAAAAAAGTAACCCAAAAACTAATCCAAATCAAATCAAATACGAAATAGGAAAAAGAAATACGACAATGTGGTCGAGCCTATACATTATTATCATCTTGGTTATTATCATCATCATTAATATCATCGATAATAATGATAATTATAATGAAAATATTTACCTAAAACAAAAAATTGAATTCATTTGCATCATTATCATCGTCAACATCATTATCATCAACAAATGCAATACCCTTTCGTTTCTTTTTTCATTTCATTTTCTTGGTTGTTTGTTATATAGAAGATTAACTAATGAGAGTTATGTAACCAAAAACAAAAACAAGTTTTCAGGTTTTTCTTTTTTCTATTTGTAATTTCGCTTCTTTCTTCCTTTCTGGTCAGTGATAAATTTCATATTTTAAAAAAACAACCGAAAAAACCGAAAAAACATTAATTTTTTTTCCCCCATACATTTTTTGTAAAATAAAGAACGTTTTTGTAATTAACCAAAAACCGAATAGATGTTATGTTTTTATTTATCTATGCCTATATCATCATCCGCATCATCATCTTAAGCATCAGTCGTGTTGGAATTTCCATTTTTTTTCAATTTCATAATTCTTGATTCTTTTTGATACATTACTTATTTGTTTTATGTAAAAAATAAAAGTTAAAATAAAAAAATAATAAATTTCAAAATTGTTTCCGGGAAAATTTCTCGTCTTCAGTGTGTGTGTCTGTGTGTTCTAATTCAGTTCTGTTTATTGTTTCCCATAAAGATTTCCTATATCAAAAAATTTGTCCTAGCTCGATCAAACGAACGAACGAGAAAATGTGTTCGTTTTACTGCTGTTTTGTTGTTGTTGTTGTTGATGATGTAAAGAAAAAAAGGAGTCAAAACAAAACACAATACACACCAAACAAACGAACCAATTTTTGATTAGATTTTTTTTTTGCCAAAAATTACAGTGTGAAATCATTCACAAGAAGAAACATACGTAGGCTACTTATATAAACTTATTACTCAATTCATTTACAAAATATGAGTATTATTATTATTTAACAGAAAAGAAACGAACATAAACATATCATAGGTGTTTTTTTTCCTTAATAAAAAAAATTGACCAAATCATCATCATCATTACTCGCTATGAAATTTGTTTTTTATAAAAAGATTTGTAATTTGTAATTTCTGTTGTAAAATTGTTGTTGTAATTTGATTCGCATCACATCCAAAAAAGTGAAAAAAGAGAATTTAAATGTCATCAAAGTTGATTTTTGATTTTATTTGTGTAATGAGTGCTTATATGGTGTGTTGTGTAATGTGTGGATGATGACATTTTAAATCAAATCAATCGAACAGAAAAGTCATCCCACTATCCCGATTCCAATCAATCAATAAATCAATCCATCCATCCATCAAATCATCGATGCCAAAATAATCATTTTTTTCATTAGACTAACTAACGAAAAACTAACTTAAAAAAAACGAAACGAAAGAAGCAAAGAAATGACATTACCTCGTATATTTTATATTTTATTTTTATTTGTATTTTTTACCTTGACTATAAGTATGATTATTGTAATTTTTACATTATTGTAACTTTTTTTATAATTAATTTTGTTACGTTTCTTTTATAGTTTTTACTAATTATCATAATCTATCATCATCTAAACAAGATGATGATGATCAGCAACGAGAACGATATAAATATGAAGTTATTAATGATAATAACAACAATTTTGTTGTTGTTAACAATCAACAACAACAACAACAACAAAATAATAATACAAAATTATTTATGACAATTGAAAAATTACAGAATGAAATTGAACAGCTACGATCACGTTTAGAAATGATTGAATCAAAGAATGTTGTTGTTGTTGATGATGATCAACGAAATCGTCATTCGGATAAATCATCATCGAATAGAAAATATTTTCAAAAAACAAAATCATTACCATATTCAGAAAAGAAAAGAATTTTGATTACAGGTGGTGCTGGTTTTGTTGGTTCACATCTGTTGGATCGTTTATTATTTGATGGTCATGAGGTTATTGTTGCTGATAATTTTTATACAGGTATTTTTTTGATTTTTGATTGATTGATCGATTGTCATAATGATTGATTCTAATTCTTTTTTTGTGTTAATTAAATTTTTTTTTCAAAAAAAGGACGACGTTCAAATATTGAACATTGGTTTGGTCATCCAAATTTTGAATTATTACATCATGATATTGTTAATCCATTATATGTTGAAGTTGATGAAATTTATCATTTAGCATCACCTGCATCACCACCACATTATATGATGAATGCAGTGAAAACAATTAAAACAAATACAATGGGTACGATAAATATGTTGGGCCTAGCAAAACGTGTTGGTGCACGGATTCTTGTTGCATCAACATCAGAAATTTATGGTGATCCATCAGTACATCCACAATCCGAATCATATTGGGGTAATGTTAATCCAATTGGTCCTAGATCTTGTTATGATGAAGGTAAACGTGTTGCTGAAGCATTAACATATGCATATGCTAAACAAGAAAATTTAAATGTACGTGTTGCACGTATATTTAATACATATGGACCACGTATGCATGCTAATGATGGCCGTGTTGTATCGAATTTTATTAGTCAAGCAATACAACATAAACCATTAACAATTTATGGTAATGGTAATCAAACACGTTCATTTCAATATATATCTGATCTTATTGAAGGTTTAGTACGTTTAATGAATAGTAATTATAGTCAACCAATTAATCTGGGTAATCCAGATGAATTAACAATTGAAAATTTGGCTAAAATTATATTGAATTTAGTACATAGTGATAATCAAAATGACAGCAAAGAACAACAACCTGATAATCATCATAAATATATTGATTATCAATCAGCTAAACAAGATGATCCAAGAAGACGACGTCCAGATATAAATTTAGCAAATTCAATATTAAATTGGTATCCAAATATAACATTAATAGATGGTTTATCGAAAACTATTGATTATTTTCGTTTTGAATTAAAACGATCATTAGGTGGTTGATTTTTTTTAAAAAAAAAACATATTTTTTTGATATTTAAAAAAGAAAGCAAAAGTTCAAATCAAATCAATCAATCAATCTGAATCGATTGAATTGTCCTGCCATTTGTTATTTATTATTTTCAGAAAGTTCTTGTTGTTGTTGTTAAAAGAAAAACTAAATAAACAAATCAATTATGGATGTTATTAACAACCTGGCCAATTATTATTTTCCCCCAAAAAAATGTAAAAGTCAAACATCATCTGTGATCCATTGATTTTTCATCATCATCATCATTTTAAAGCAAAAAAAAACATCCACCAGCATTCAATGACAAAAATCCAGAAAAAATCAAGAATCAAAAATCAGTTTCACTGAGCATCATCATTCATTTACTTTACATTTTTCTCCTCGGATGCGGCCTATATAGTCTTGATGTAATGATAATTTGATTATACTATGCTGGTTCACGATTATGGAACATTATTTGTAACCGACCAACCAACCAACCAAACGAAAAAAAAAAATGATGAAGAATTATATAAGGTGCCAAGTTTTTTTTTCTGAAACATTTTTAACACATCTCGCTTTTTGTTGGATGGAAAACGCCCCTGCTTTTCTTTGCTTCTTTTCGGTTCCAAATTCATTCGTCCATCGATTCATTCATCTTTTAGTCCTTTTTTTTCTGTTTTTGTTTGTTTTCTTTCTATCTTTGTCTCTCTTTCTGTGTTTGTTTGTTTGTTTGTCTGTCTTTTTGTAAAAAAAAGGACAATCTTATAATCTTATTTTCAAAGTAGTGATAATTTAATTTAATTTAACTTTTAACTTTTAATTTTTAATTTGTAACTTTTAATTTTTAATTTTTAATAATTTTTAATTTGTAATTTTCCAATTTTTTCCAATTTTTGTTGTTTTTTTTCTTTCTTTTGATTTTAACGAAATAAAACGGATTTTTGTTTGTTTTGAAATTTTGTATTTTTCCAAAAACAACAATCAAGAGATATGATGAATGAACCACAGCCACCATCAGTATCAGCAACAACCAAAAATCAACAATCGTTACCGATGGGAATTTTTCCTTGTTTACAACAAAATAATAATAATCCTAGTCATCGTAACAATGTAAACAACAACAATAAAAATTCAAATATATCATCAATAAATAATCTAATTATAATGTTAATATTTTTTATTATAATTAATATTATACTTATAATATGGATTATAATATCATTAAATTTATATCAAAATTCATCAACATTTATACGTACAATTAATATGAAAACAATTTCATCAAAATCAAATAAACCAAATAATAATAATGATGGTAGATTTCGTATTGATGGTAATCTTATTGGTGGTGGTGGTGGTGATGGTTTTAATGAAAATTGTACCGTTTATACAAATGAAATTCAAACACAAATTGCTTCCCATAACGATAACGATGATGATGATAATCAATTACAAATACAATTTCAACCGATTGATGAAATAAATCCATCTGGTGATGTACAAATTAAATCCAATGGATTAAATCCAAATAGTTTACATTTATCATCAATAACCGGTAATTTGGAATTTAAAATCAATAATCGTTTAATGATTAGTAGTGAAAAACCGCGAAGATTATTTCAAATTGAAAATGATTGTTTAATTATTGAAGATTCATCAATATCAATGGCATATATTAGACAACAACCAGGTGGTTTACGTTTATCACAAATGATTACCGATTCTATTGTTGGTTCCGTACATGATGATTTACGGTAAGTAATTCTATATATTAAAAAAAATTGAAAATTATAAGTTTTTACTGAAAATCTAGAATCGAATCACGTACCGAACAATTATCGATTGAAACAAAAAATTCAACAATCAATATTGAATCAAATATGGGTCGTATTGAATTAAAATCCTATGATGATATCAATATTAATACGGAAAAATTATCATTAAATGGACGTAATATTTTATTTGTTAATCTAAATCGTGATCAACATGATCATAAACAGCAACAACAACATAATCGTCATCGACACCATCATCAGACCAATCTGAAGAATGGCAATGATAATGATGAACCAATTGCATATCAATTATGTATGTGTACAAATGGTGAATTATTTGCAGCTGATGAATCAATACCATGTCAAGCTGATCATAAAATTTGTGGTAGTCATGATGAATGATGAAATTTTAGACGTTGATTATTATTATTCTGATTATAACAAAGATTTTGTTTTTTCCCCCCACAATTAGCGCTAATCTGTAATTATAGAAATTAAAATTAATTACAAAAAAAACAACAATATTTGTTTGCTTACTTTGAGAATTTTTCATTACCACAATTGTTGTTGTTGATCAATGATGAAAATGCTGACAATTTTGATCATTGATTTGATCAATGTCATATTCATCATTATAATTAAAATCTTGATGAAAATAATTATCATTTTGTTCATATGATGATTGTTGTTGATCATTGGATTGTAATTCAAAACTTTTCAATAATTCTTTTTCACGTTTTAATGATTTTGTACGACAACGTCGTTGTATTCTTAAATAACGATTTTTATAATGATTCCATTGCTTTTTTGATAGTATACGAATTTGATAATCTTGATGTTTAATTTGTTTTAAATCTTGTTCAATTTGTTTCATTGTTTCGATTAGTTTTGTTTCGAATTTCGTTGATAATTTATCACCATCATTATCATCATCGTCAAACCATTGACAAATAATTTTTGCATTTTCTTCATGTTCATATTCAATAAAAGCAAAACCAATCGATTGTGAACGTTTCTGTAAACGTAATGATAATATTGGTCCTAATTTTTCCAATAAACAACGAAGTTTATTATCAATTTGTTTAATATATGGATTAAAACCTTCTAAATATATTGTACGATTATTAAGATTATTTATTGATAAATTATATGGTTTACAACGTTGTAATGATTGTGTTTTTGAATCATAATGAAGATCATTTTTCAATAAAAATGAATCTAATTGTGGATATAAATTTTTATCAAATGCATTTAATAAATCATTAAATGAATTTGTTAATTCACGTATCTTATTGAAACGTAAAAATTCTTTTAAATAAACTGGATATATTTCATAATCTTGTTTACAATTATTTAATTTTCTTAAATCAATACCAATTAAACGTTGCATAAATTTATCATAATAAATATTTGATAAACTAAAATAGAAACCAATCTATAAAAAACGAACATTCTTATAAACCGATTAAAAAAATCAATCGACATAAACATACCTGTTTACGTATTTTTTCATAAATATCATCTTGATCATCATCATCATCATTATGATCATCGATTATTATCATATCATCATTAACATCAACATTTAAATCAATTTCATTTGTCATTGTCAGTGTTGATTTTTTCAACTAAAACGCAAATTCTGGACAAATTCTGGACAAATTCTGTACAAAACAAATATCATGTGGTTTGTTTTGGGGGCGATTTTTGATTTTTCGAATGTAACAAACAAACATACTCAAAAAGAATATTCGAAAAAAAACACCGACTACACACACCATCTATCGGTGGAAAATGTTAAACAAAAAAAATGAAGAATCCCAAAATTCAATCCGAAAATCATTAAATTAACCCTGAAGGAAGAGAAAAATGAATGAAAAAAATTCCCAGAAATTGTTTTTTTTTTCTTTGTTGTTGTTTTTCCTTGTTGTTTGTTTTATTCCCAGAGAATTTTGTTTGAGAAAAGAATTAATATGAATAATATTCGAAAACCCGGAATATTCTGGTTTTTTTTCAAGCCAAAAAAACAACAACAACAAAATATCTGTTGTGGTTTTGTTGTTGTTGTTTCTCCGAATGTATTTTTTGTTTTGTTTCTCTGTTAATACAATATTAATATTTTCCAAGAGAGAAACTATGAATATTTGAATTCGAATGACAATTGAAAATGAAAATGAAACAGCAAAAAGAATCTCGAGAATCGGGAAAAGCTAAAATTCATTTTTTTCCCGTTTTTTTCGTTGACAAAGCCAATCGACCCACCGACCGACCAAAAACCACACACACAAAAACAAAACAAAACGAAAATCCACGGATCATGGAATTTTCATTTTCATTTTTTTTAATTCTCGATATTTGTACACCAGAAGAAGAAAACATTGATAAAAGAATAAAGAATTTCGTCTTCTAATCATCATCATCATCATATAGAATCTGTATGCGCGTGTACCGAATTTCGAATAGAATCAAGAATCCATAAATGACAAAACTACGCATGTCTGAAAAGAAACTATTTTTTTTCACATATAATGATGATGATTCGAATTCGAACATTTTAGTTGTTTTTGGTTGCCGAATGGAATTTCCATTTTATGTGAAAAAAAACACTTATTTCAAGTTTTCTGGTTTTTCGGTTTTTCTTTCTTTTTTTTCTGGTTTTTCAGTTTGAATTCTGGTATTCATTCATTCATTCAGTTAAGTGATTTGTGAAAAGTTTTTTTTTGTTGTTGTTTTTCAAACAAAAAAATTGTACAATTCAATATTCTCGATCAATCGAGATTCGATCGAGATTTGAACAAAAAATTTTACCAGAAAAAAAACAACGAATCGAAATTTTCTTCTTCAAGTTTCTCAAGATCGATTCGATCGATTTGTATTTTTCATCATCATCATCATCGACATCAATTGACATCATCATCATCATCGATAATCGTGATCATAATCATTTTGTTTTTTTTTTGATCCAGAAATGTTCATTCATCACGAAAAATTTTGAAAAAAAACCAAGAAATTCAGAAACAGAAAAAAACCAAGAAACAGAAAATCATTATATTCAAATAGATCATTATTTGTGACAATTCTTTTCCCATGTTTTTAATGATGATTTTCATTTGAAAAATCAAAATTACAAAAAAATCAAAATTTTAAAGAACGAAAAAACTGCAAGTAAGAATTCCTTTTATTTATTTGTTTGTTTTTATTCAATGAAATTTGAATTTAAAATTAAATTTTTTTTGAAACATTTTCATTTTCTTTTTGACATTTGCATTTTATCAAAAATAGAAAAAAAAAGAAAAATTCAAAATTAGAAATGATTCAGTGGGGGTTTTGTTTGCTTATTTGATTTTATTTGCTTGTCCGTTTTTTTATTATTATTATCATTATTCTGGTTTAAATCATTTCACCAATATCTTGATCTAAACGGAAGAAAAAAAGAAGAAAAAATCAAACAAATTGATTGATTGTAAACATACACGAACGAACGAACGAACGAAAATCGACAGATCTTTCTGTTCAACAACTTTTCTTCTTCTTCTTCTTTCAATTTCATTTTATGATCATCATCATCATCATCTTGATGATTTTATTCTGAAATTCTAATTATCTTTCAAGTTGGGAGAGAGAGAGATTCTTGTCAAACGTCAATTGAAAATCATTAATGTTATTTTTTTTATATATAATGATGACATCATTTGCAAATGATTGATAATGTTTACAAAGAATATTCAACAACAACAACAACAAAAATCATTTGAAACATGAAATGAATAAAAAAAGAAAAAGAAGAAAAATTAATCAAACAAACACTGTATGTGTTTATATTTCTAGGTTTTCGTTTCGTTTTCGTTTTGTTGCTTGTTTTTTTAACCCGTTTTTTTTTTGTTGTTTGGTTGGTGTAAGTCAATACAAACAAACAAACAAACAAAAAATTGAAATTAAATGACGTCGAATAATGACGATAATTTCATTGGCATCATCATCGACAACAACAACAACAAAATGTTGTTGTTGTTGTTGACTATGCAACTTTTTAAAATTCTGACAATGTCTACAATGATTGAGAGCAACAACAATCTTTCTCTGTTTTTGCACAGAGAATTTGCAATTTGAATCTATGAATTCTGTAGCATATTCTTCACTTGAATGAAAAAAAACGAAATTCTGTAAATAGAATTTTTCATTTTTTTTTTCAAGTTTGAAAAAAACAAAACAAAAATTCATTCGTTGATCATTTGCCTTTGATTTGTTTGGGGCTCACCAACAACACCCACACACACACACACATGAATATTCTCGACTGAAAAAAAAATCATTTAATTGAATCTACCAATAATGATGATTATTTCAATTGATTTGTTTTTGTAATTTTCGTTTTTGGGTTTTATCTTTCTCTTTCTCTCCCACACTCCCACACAAACACACATTTGCACTTGAAAATTTTAAAACAAAACAAAAAATGATTAATTTTGTTTGCAGTGATGGTAAAACAAAAAAAAAAAAATTTCATTAAAATTGAATTTTTTCTGTTTTGTTGTTGGTGGAAGCAAAAAAAAAACAGGATCGAAAAAAACTCGAATCCGAAAAAAAAAGTTTTTTTTTCAAAAATAGAAAAAAAAATCCTTTGAATAACAACGAAAACAACAACAACAAGAAATTCATTTTCATTTATCGATTCACCGGATTTTTGGTTCGATATTTTCACTCTGTGGTTGTTGTTGTTGTTGTTTTGTCAGTGTTTTGTTTTTATTGTTATTGTTATTGCTTGTTGTTGTTGTCATAAAACAAAACAGAAATTGGTTTTTACAGAGAAATTTAATTATCCAAACGAGAATATATTTATTATTTGGAACCAAAGAGAGATAGATAGAGAGAGAGAGAGAGAGAGAGAGAGAGAGNCAACAACAACAACAACAAAAATCATTTGAAACATGAAATGAATAAAAAAAGAAAAAGAAGAAAAATTAATCAAACAAACACTGTATGTGTTTATATTTCTAGGTTTTCGTTTCGTTTTTTTTGTTGCTTGTTTTTTTAACCCGTTTTTTTTTTGTTGTTTGGATGGTTGGTGTAAGTCAATACAAACAAAAAAAATGAAATGAAATGACGTCGAATAATGACGATAATTTCATTGGCATCATCAACGACGACAACAACAACAACATTCTGTTGTTGTTGTTGACGATGCAACTTTTTAAAATTCTGACAATGTCTCTACAATGATTGAGAGCAACAATTTTCAACAATCTTTCTCTGTCTTTCTCTGTTTTTTTGCACACAAAATTTGCAATTTGAATCTATGAATTCTGTAGCATATTTAACTTCTTCACTTGAATGAAAAAAACGAAATTCTGTAAATAGAATATTTTCATTTTTTTCAAGTTTGAAAACAAAAACAAAAATTCATTCGTTGATCATTTGCTTTTGATTTGTTTGGGCTCATCAAACAACAACACCCACACATGAATATTCTCGACTGAAAAAAAATCATTTAATTGGATCTACCAATAATGATGATTATTTCAATTGATTTGTTTTTGTAATTTGTTTTTTGGGTTTTATCTTTCTCTCTCTCCCACACACACACACACACACACACATTTGCACTTGAAAATTTTAAAACAAAACAGTAAAAAAAATGATTAATTTTGTTTGCAGTGGTGGTGGTAGTAAAAAAAAATTTCATTAAAATTGAATTTTTTCTGTTTTATTGTTGGTGGAAGAAAAAAAAACAGAATCCGAAAAAAAAGTTTTTCGAAAATAGAAGAAAAAAAAATCCTTTGAAGAACAACAACAACAAGAAATTCATTTTCATTTATCGATTCACCGGATTTTTTTGGTTCGATATTTTCACTCTGTGGTTGTTGTTTTGTCAGTGTTTTGTTTTTATTGTTATTGTTATTGCTTGTTGTTGTTGTTGTCATAAAACAAAACAGAAATTGGTTTTTACAGAGAAATTTAATTATCCAAACTAGAATATTTATTATTTGGAACCAAAGAGAGATAAAGAGGGAGAGAGAGAGAAACGGAAAATCATTATCATTGTCGATTTTGTAGTTTGTTTGTGTATGGTATTTCCAAACAAAAAAAACTAACTAAATTTGATTCTAAATTTAATTTGTAACCAAAAAAATTAACAGAATTTTTTTTTCTTCCGTTCGTTCGTTTGATTGATTGATTGATGGATGGATGAAAATCGAACCGAACGAAAGTTGAAAATTTTTGTTTTTGTCTGTTTTTTTTAGAGAAAATTTTCATAAATTTTGCTCTCGATTCAGATTTCCAGAATAATTCTGATGAAAACACAGAATTTTTTTTTCTCGCCTGCGAATATTAATCATCATCGTCATCAACCGACAACAGTGACCGATATTTCAATTTTTTTTTACTTTCCTGGTAAAATCTAGTAATTACCGGGATTTTTTTTCGGGATTCAGTATCATGTCATTATGCTCAGGTGTGGTTAGCGAATATTTTCATATTTTTTTTCTTTTGCTTACTGTTTATTTTGTTACCGGTTTAGATTTGGTTTTTGTTGGTTTCCATCCAATTAATTTTTTCTCAGTTTTTCATTGAATTATTAATTATGGCGATGATGATGATGATTATGATGATTTTTGCCTCGTTTTTTTTCCTGGGCTATTTCGACCTTTCTCACTCAACAACAATGTCATATTAAACATGTAATTCTGGTTAAAAAAACACCAAACCACCACCACCACCAAAAACAAACTTTGTGGTGTTCTTTTTTAGGCAATTTAGTTGATTGAAAACAAAACGAAAAATCTGTTGGTTTTCTCTGTTTGTTTGTTTAATTTCTCGTTCTCGTTCGTTGGAAATCAATGATTTATGAAAATCCAAGTTTGTTTCTGGTTCATTTTTTATTTCTCTTCTGGCTGGGCTTCTATATTTTTGATGAAAAAAAATATTAATAATTATGGGACACACAACGAAACTACAAAATCAATGAAATTAGTAGTGACAAAAAAAAAAGCTGAAAAATGATGTTGAACAACAACCAACAACTACAAAACTTTGTTCCAATTTTTTCTTTCAAAAAAAACAAACTTTCCGCATCCATTTTTTTTCTTCTTCGGTTCGATGCGATATGAATCTTGAAAACTCAAAAAAAAAATCGAAAAAATTGAAAGCTTAAAAAAAAGAAGAAAATTGATGATGATAGTGAAAATGTTCAAACAACAAACAACAACAACAACAAAAAAAGAAAAATTTTCTTAGACCGAACCGAAGAAATGAATGAAAAAAAAAAATGTTGAAACATTATTCTTGGGGTCCATTATTCTTTCGTTTTGCGTTTGGTTGGTTGGTTATGCTGTCAATGTGTTTGGTGCCCGAGAATAAAAAAAAGTCATCATCATTTTGCCATCGAAAGAAAAGAAAATTGAAAAAAACAAGAAAAAATTTCGAAATTTTTTTTCTGTGTTTGTTCGACCCCTTTTTTTTGCAAAGATTGATTATTCGACGAAAGAATGAATGAAAAGAATAACTTTGAATAACAATTGATATTATGATGATGAAATTTTGTCTTATTTTCTTGCAATGTCGTCATCAGTAATTCTCTCTCTCTTTCACTCGTTTTCTGTCAATTCTAATTGTAATGAACATTAATATTATTACAAAAATGGTCTTCGAAAATAGATAGATGGATGGATAGATTGAAAAAAAACCGAAAATAAAAAAACCAAAAGATAAGAACTATATTTTTATATTAGGTCGACAGTGCAAAATTTTTACATTTTTTTATTGTCGTTGTTGGCCATAAATAAAAAGAATATTCTTTATCATCATCATCATCATCTTTTTTTTTCTGGGTCGCCTAGAAAAAATTCCTGTTTTTTTTTCTTTTTTCTTCATTCTCTATGGTGAAATGATTGGTGATGTAAGTAGGAAAGATGGAAAAAATTTTGGTCAACATACAGGCAGGACAACATCAATTATGTGAATATAAAGAAAGAAATTGGTGATAATGGTGGGGGAGATTAAGTAATAGATTCAATGATGACATCATTCATTCATTTTTGGTTTGGTTTTTGTTTTATCTCTGCTTAAACGGTGGGGGTGGAACAAAAGAAAAAAGAAAAGAAAAGATGTCCTAATTTCATTTTCAGCGAAGAAATTGCATTAAACAAAAAATTTTTCCTAAATCAATCAATCAATCAATCGATTGATTGATTTGGATTCTTTTTCCTGTTTTGGTGTGTGTGTGGAAAATGAATTAATTTTTATTGTTCAAAAAAAATGTTTTAAAAGGAAAAAATTCGGGTTATTTTTTCTGGGGTCCAAATCTATTTTTGTGCATCAAAAAATTTCGTTTTTCTGGTTATCCAAATTTAGTTTTTCTCTTTTCATCTCTTCGATTTCTCCCTCTCTCTCCCTCTCATGAGAATTCTGTTTGCACAAAACAAACCAAACCAAACCAAACCAAACAAACAATTTTCCAATAAGTTCCAAACAGAAAACAGAAACAAAATGAGAGAAAAAAAAAGACCAGATCACTCTCACTATACAGAATCAGTCAAGTCAGTTGATGTTAAAGAGAATTTGAAGTGATGTTGATGTTGAATGTTTACGTAAAATATTTTCATCAAAAATAAAAATTCAGTTACCATCTCTGTTGTTGTTGTTATTGTTGTTGGTTGGTTGGTTGGTTGGTTTGTTTGTTGATGATGATGATCATTATAATCAAGTTAAAAATAAATTATAAATAAATAAAAGTTGAAATAATAATAATAATAATAAATAGAAACAACAACAACAACAACAAAAATAAATTGAAAAATTGGATGAGACAATTTTTTTGTTGTTGTTGTTGTTGTTGTTTTTACTAAAAAATTATTATCATTATCATTATAATCATCATTATTTATTTATTCATTATATATTATGATCATTAACGGTTTGGTTTTTTTTTGTAGTTTTGTTGTTGTAGTTTATTGTTGTTGTTGTTGTTATCGATCGGATATAATATTTTTTTTTTCTAACAACAACAACCAGACGAAAAAAGTGTGAAAAAAATAAATTTTTTCACCGTTTTTTTTTTAATCCGATTTATTTTTATTCGGTGAAGGTTTTGAAATGTCATTTTTTTTTTGTTGAAGAGAGAAGAAGATGTTGTGATTGATCTTTTGTCTGGTTATTGAATTGAATTACAGCAAACAAACATTTCTATCTTCAAATTGCATAATAATTTTTTCAATTCTATTTGATTTCAAATTCTACCATATGATTAGCATTTAAATGTAATAAAATAAAATAAAAATGGCAAACGAAAAATCACCACCTACACAACAACAAACAATTATTGTTTTTATCAATGATGAACAACAACAACAACAACAACAACAACAGTTAAAGCCAGAGGCAATAATGGATCATCATGATGATCATCAAATATCATCAACAACAACATCAGCATCAACATCATCAACAATAACAACAATAAATCAACAACAACAACAACAACAACAACTAAATTGTTATTATAATCGAAGTATTGATGATGAATCAGCCGCAACAACAACAACAACAACAACAACAAATACAAGTGTTGGTGGTATTCCAAATTGTCCAAGTGAACCATTAACACCATCCGATGAATATGAATTTTATCCATTAGAAATATCATCAAATGATGATGATATTAGTGGTGATGTTAGTGGTAGTAATGATATTAGTGGTGGTAGTAGTTATTGTGAAATAAATCAAACAAAATCATTATCAATTAATTGTATGAATATTGATCAACAACAACAACAACAACAAAATTCAAATCAAATTCAAATGGAATCTAAAACATTAATACGTCGTACTAGTGCTGAACCATATATTAGTTTTAATGAAAAACAATCATTAAATAATAAAAATTTATTAATGATCAATAATAATAGTAATAATAAAGATGATAAAACAACAACAACTAAACAACAACAAAGACGATCAACAACAACAACAACAACAACAGAATCAGAATCAACAACAACAACAGCAACAGGAACAACAAAAAAACGTCATTCAATATCGGTCTCAAATTTAACAATATTAACAAATAGTTTATTAACAGTTGCATCATTTGCTGATGCAAAAAGTAGTCAATTTTTATCATATCTTAAAAATGGTTGTCAATTAGCTAATAATAATAATCATATATCACAGATGACCACCAATACTATCAATGATAATGATAAAAATAGTCAATCAAAACAAACTAATAATAATAATAATAATAATAATCGACGTAGACGATCATCAACAATAAGTAATCGTAAAAAACGTGAAAATCAACAACAAAAATCATCAAAGAAAAATAATGATAATAATAAAATCAATGATAATGATGATAATGATAATAAAGATCAAAGAAAATTAAGTAAAAATCGTAATTATTTTAGTAAATTTCATTCAAAATCTCGATCAACAACAACAGCAACAAGTCCGAACAAAAATGATAATAATCAAGATCAAATTGAACAAAATAATATTGAAAATATTATAGAATCATCAATTACAATTGAACAAACTGATAATAATAATGATACTGATAATTTATTAAATTGTAATCTTAATGATCATAATAATAATAATAATAATAATGATGATGAACGACGTAAAGATTCAATAAATTCATTAATAATTGATTATGGATTTCAAGGTAAAATAATTCGTGCACATTTACCTGATGATCAACGTACAATTGTACCAATACAATCTGGACAAACAATACGTGATGTATTGGAAAAATCAATGGATCGTCGTAAATTAACATCCGATATGTGTACTGTTTATATTTGTGATACAAAGTAAGTTGTATTTCAAAAAAATTTTAACCCGATCCTATACATGTATTATATTCTTATCTTTTATTTTTCTCACCAAAGTGAACCAATCGATTGGGATAGTGATGTATCATTATTAAATCCAGGTGCTGAAATACGTGTAAAAACAAATGAACCATTTCCAATACAAACACGTATATCACATAATTATATACGTAAAACATTTTTTACATTAGAATTTTGTGAATGTTGTAATCGTATATTATTTCATGGTTTTCGTTGTCAAACATGTGGTATACGTTTTCATACTAGATGTGCATTACAAGTACCAAGTTTATGTCAACCATTACGTATTGATAATTATTATCGTCATTTATTAGCAATGAATGCTAATAATATGTTAAATAATCCACAAACTGGTTGTATTAATCGTTGTGGTTTTTATCGTTCAGCATCGATTAATAATCATCATTATCAACAACAACAAAAACAACAACAAAATTCATCAATAAAATTATCAAAACAACAATTGAAAATAAAAATTACAAATAAAAATCAAAATGAAACAATTAATAATGATAATGATGATAATAATCAATTATCAACAAATTTTTTACGACCAGATTTACAATCATCACAACAACAACAATCACAACATTCACGTGAACGTTCAACATCAGCACCGAATGTTTGTTTTAATTCAACAACAATTAATACTGATAATAATAATGAACATACTAAAACGATAATCGATAATCAGAATAATGATAATACAAAATTACGTTTAAAACGTCCAACAACAACAAACAAAACGATAATACATTCAGCAACAACATCACCAACATCACCAAATAAATTAAATAAACTTATTGATCCATCATTATCATCATCAACAACAACAACATCGACAAAAACAACAATGACATTAAATAATAATAACAATAATGGTGGCAGTGGTAGACCACGTGCAAGATCAGCCGATGAATCAATAAAAATTAATAATAAAATCCAAAATACATCTGTATCATATCGTGAATCGATTGAAGATTGGGAAATACCACAAGATGAAATATTAGTTGGTCCACGTATTGGTTCCGGTTCATATGGTACTGTTTATCGTGGACATTGGCATGGACCAGTTGCATTAAAAAAATTAAAAGTAATCGAACCAACTGAAACACAATTACAAGAATTTAAAAATGAATTAACTGTTTTAAGAAAAACACGTCATGTTAATATAATATTATTTATGGGTTGTGTATCAAAACCACATTTAACAATTGTTACACAATGGTGTGAAGGTTCATCATTATATAAACATTTACATGTTTTTGAAACAAATTTTGAAATTATTCAATTGATTGATATTGCTCGACAAACAGCACAAGGAATGGATTATCTACATGCTAAACATATTATACATCGTGATCTTAAATCAAATAGTTGAGTATTTTTTTTTCTCTTACTTTTCTTTGGTTTCTAAACATCTTTTTTTTGCCACAGATATTTTTCTACATAATGATTTTACTGTAAAAATTGGTGATTTTGGCCTAGCAACAGTCAAATCACGTTGGAAAGGTTCGAAAAAATTTCAACAACCAACTGGTTCAATATTATGGATGTCACCAGAAATTATACGTATGATTGAACCAAATCCATATTCATTTCAAAGTGATGTTTATTCATTCGGTATTGTATTATATGAATTAACAACCGGTACATTACCATATCGTCATGTTAATAATAAAGATCAAATATTATTTATGGTTGGACGTGGTTATCTAAAACCAGATTTATCATTATTACGTGATAATATTCCAAAACGTTTTGTACAATTATTAAAAGATTGTATACAATTTGATTTTATAAAACGACCATTATTTAGACAAATATTATCACGTATTGAAAATATATTACAATTATTACCAAAATTTGATCGTTCACGTTCAGAACCATCAATTTATGATCATAATAATCATCAATCATTATTATCATCATCAAATATTGATGATGATCCAGATTTAATTATTTTTACAAATAATAATAATAATAATTTTATAACAAAACCGATAATAACAACAAAAAATTGTACAGCCGCAAATGTAGACGCAAACAAAATCGCAACCGAATCATCATCATCATCATCAATAATTTATCAATCGCCAAATGATATTGAATACATTCCCGAATCATCTGAATCCGCATCAACAACAACAACAACAACGGCCAAATTAATCGAACAACCATTTACCTATTTTGTAACTGAAAATATTTAGTCAAAAACAAACCAAACAAAAAACAAAATTTTTCATTCAAAACTTTATTTCAATTTCCAAATTTTTAAAAATAGAAAAAATAATAATAAAAACAAAGGTAGCTGCCATATTATTAGTGTTGATTATGGATTGTTGATTATGGATTGTTTTTATAATTTTTTTCCATTAAATTTTGTTGAACTTTTTTTCTTTTTCATTAATTGTTCACGTTGATTTTGTTTAATATGTTCAGGTGCATCAGGTGTCGGTATAATGGTTGATGTTTCTTCCATTGAATCAATCGGTGGATTAATACGTAATTCGATACGTTGTTTTTCAGCACATGCATATTCCGATTCATCAACATCATTATAACAATCTGAACGGGCATTTTTCGGTATATTTTTCTGTCCTTCATATTCACAAAGACGTTCTAATGGTATTGCTTTAACAATCATTTTATTCATATCGATTGGTTTTTCTTGTGGACAATAAAATACTTTTGGTGTTTTTGAATCAAATACAATTGATTTACGCATTAAATCACCATTACTTATTTCGATTATTAAAGCCATTAGGATTAAAACTAAAGCTATTTTACAAAGAAATTCTTGATTAAAAAACAAAACAAAATTCCAAAGAATAAATCAAAAAAAAAAAAAATAACAAACCTTGATAAATCGGAGCCATGATCGGTTGATTTAAAAGAATCCAAGAATCCAATAACAAACAAAACAAAGCGAAATGAAAATGAGCAGATGTTTCACAAAGAGAGAAAACAATTTTTAGACATAAATGGTCATCATCCACGTAAAGCTGCGTCATCTTTTTTTGTTTGTTTCAATGGCAGTCTGTATTTTAGAGCTGCTATAATCAGGTAGGAAAATCAACGTAAAAAAAGAAGACGAATACGAAGAAAGAAACAAGTTTCTCAATGACCATTATCCACATCTTTCTTTCTTTCATTCATTCACTTTAAATGCTGGCAATCATCAAACGGAACATTCACACCACACACACACACAACAAGTTTCTCTTTTTTTCTTATTCCTCGAAATGGATGCTTCAGGTATTCAACAACAAAAAAAAAGGTGGACAGGTTGAAAGAAAATTGCGCGAATTTTGAAAAAAAAATTCAGCTTTTTTTTGATTATGACCGTTAAAAAGGGGGGTTTTAAACGTCAAAAATCTGTCAACTCAGCAATGATGAAATGTGAGCACGTGTATGATGTGTGTGCGAAAAGTGCGAAAGAAAACAGTCATCGATGATGAAATTTTTTGGGAAAAAAAATTTTCTGCCTGTGTGTGTGTGTGACACTCGTGTTCGTTTGGTTTGTTTGCGAAGCCAGGTTTTTTGATTTTTCTGATTTTCTGATTTTTTTGATTTTTGATTTTTCGGAATTTTCAACAACAACCTGATGGATAACAACAACAACAACAACAAATCGGAAATGAATTTATCCGAATCATCATCATCCGAACAACAACAACAATCGAAACAACAACAACAATCATCAAGAATTATGAAACAATCAAAAAATCGACATCATCCATATTTATTATCATCATCTACCTCATCTACATCATCATCATCAACAACAACAACATCAATAACATCGATCAAAAATGATTGTCATTGTAATACAAAACCAAATATAATATTACCAACATTAACCGAATGGACAGCTAGATTTCGTATTGATGAACAATATATGAATACAATTTTGAAACCGGTAACAAAAGCATTAAAATTTTCAACTGAAAAATTTTATCCAGATGGTAATATGATGATAACATTACGTAGAAATATTAATCGTCATGATAATAATTCAATAACATCACTGCCATCATCATCAACATTGTCGCAATCGCCACCATTATCATCACCATTATCAAGATCACCTATTTTGGCCAAAGAATCATCAAAACAATTGGAACAAGATAATCATGAATCGATTAAACAACAACAACAACAACAATCATTGGATCGACCATTTGGTCATGGTACAATTACTATTATTGATGATGGTGATATACGTGCAACACATAAATCTTGGATTGAAAAACCATTACCATTATCATCAATATCATCATCGATGGAAAGTGATCAAAAATCAATTAATTCGGAAAATTTCTTTCCAATCAATGTTGATGATGGTGGTAATGATAATACTGGTGATGATAAAATTAACCCCGATGAAACAATTGAAAAAAAACAATCACCGGTTGTCGAAAACTTTCCCAATACTAATGAATATGATGGTGATGATGGTAATACCACAACCGATGAAAATGATCAAAAACCGATAATTTTGGATTTGAATTCATTTACCAATCCAGCACAATCATCATCATCATTTGAATCATCCACTGCTGTCGCCGCATCAACTGAATCATCCGAACCATTACCAATAGTTCCAGAACAATTTTCACAAATTCTTCAAATGATTAACAATTCAATGAATGATGATGGAGATGATGATGATGATAAAAATATTACAATGGCAGCTGCAACAGCAACAACCAACGAATCAATCAAACCAATTATCGATGATGAATCAATTCAGCCAGAATTTCAACAACAACAGCAACCAGAAATGCATCAACAACAACAAACGCAACAAACAAATCAATTTTATCAATTAGATGAAAGTTTAATTGATCGTCTTTTGGCAACTGATTGGCCAATTTATTTTGATGATGATAATAATCAACAACAACCGCAGCAGCAGCAATATCCATTGAATGTAACTAATCAACAATATTCGGCTATTGCGAATATTAATCATCATCAACAGCATCAGCAGTATTATCATCATGATCATCGAAATCATGATTATTATCCGATTGATATTAACAACAACAACAATCATAATCAGATGAATTTAAATTGCTATGGTGGTAATTATGCTGATAATGATGATTCTGGTGTTGGTGTTAATTATGATGAATATAATCATCTGTTTGAATGAAAAAAAAAACAAATGATAAAAGTCAAGCAATTCTTATTGATCTCAGGCAATTTATAATCTCATAACAACAAAAACGTTAATTTTCCTAATTAAATTTCTAAATTTCATTGTTTTTTGTTTTGTTTTTCTTTTTGATATTTACAAATATATTTAAAAAATCTAATAAAATTATGTTTCAATCCAAATGAACCATTTTTGTGTAAATAGTTTTGTTTACTGCAGTGTATTGCTCAATTGTATTTGATTATATTTGTTTTTATTGATATTTTATTTCATTTTTTTCTTAATTTTGCATATTGTCGAAGTTTGTTTTCGTTTTTGTTTTTTAAATTCATTAGTTCATTGTTGTTTCAATAAATCAAAAATAATGGCATTATCAGCTGTACGTCGTTTAATGACCGAATATAAACAATTAACATTAAATCCACCTGAAGGAATATTAGCTGGTCCAGTTAATGAAGATAATTTTTTCGAATGGGAAGCATATGTAACTGGTAAATATAAAATGATTAGTTGATTGAAATATTTTCAATTCTACCATTATTATCATCATAATTGTGATTAGGACCTGAATCAACGTGTTATGAAGATGGTGTTTTTTCAGCACGTATTACATTTCCAACTGATTATCCATTATCACCACCTAAAATGCAATTCACATGTGAAATGTTTCATCCAAATGTTTATCCGGATGGTCGTGTTTGTATATCAATATTACATGCACCTGGTGAAGATCCATTAGGTTATGAATCAATATCGGAACGTTGGTCACCAGTACAATCAGTAGAAAAAGTTCTGCTATCAGTTGTATCAATGTTAGCCGAACCAAATGATGAATCTGGTGCAAATGTTGATGCAGCAAAAATGTGGCGTGAAGATAGAAAATTATTTTTAGAAAAAGCTGAAGAAATTGTACGTAAATCATTGGGTTTTTAAACAATCAAACAAAAAAAGAAATGAAAATCGCTCTAAATCAATCAACATCCAGCAACAATTTTTGTGATAAAATTTTTTATTATTATAACTCTTTGCATGAATTATTTTCTTTTTCAATCAATTCAATTAGTTATTATTAATTAAATGCATGTCTTGTAATGTTTGAAATATGTGAGGGAATTATCATTAGTTTAATGTTTGTTTGATTGAGAAAAAGGGGAATTGAATGAATGAAACAACATGAAATATATATTTTTGGTCCAAATGAATTATGATTTGAAATGAAAATTATGGTTATTTCAGAATCGGATTCTGATTCTGATTCTGATTATGTTTTCTTGGTTTTATTCTTGATTTTCAAGTTTTTGCATTCAATGATTGAATATAATCAACGGTTTTTGTTGTTGTTGTTGTTGTTGGAATACCATCAATAACACCACCTATCGGTATATTATTTAATGATGATGATTTTAATTGTTCCGTTTGTTGTTGTTGTTGTTGTTGATAATATTGATAAGTAATTTGTTGTTGTTGATCAATATTATTACCGCTACCTGTATTAGATGATATTATCATTGTTTGATTATTACCATCATTATTTGATGAAAATTCTTGTTTATCAATAAAATCTAATGATTCACATTTACGTTGTTGTTTCATTTTTAACATGATTGTTTTTGGATTATTTGCATTTATAATTGTTGTTGTTGATGATGGTTGATAATATGGATGATAATTAGATGCTCCAGCAGCAGCACCCGATACAAATGATTGCTGCTGGGATGTTGATGGAATCAATCCAATTGTTGATCCAGTTGTTGTTGTTGTTGTTTCAATACGATTTAAAAATTTAAAACGATCCAATAATAAACGATTATTTTCATTATCTAACCAATATGTTCGAACAATTCCTTTTCCTTTTAAATGTATATCACCACGTAATGTTAGATTGAATGAACCAAAACGATCCAGTATTAATTTACTATATTCACTTGTATGTATTTTGTTTGCTGGATTTTTTTGGTTGAAAAACTTTTGGTTAGAATTTTTTTTTGAAACAAGAGAATTCAGTAACTTACGTTCACCATGTGATTCCATACGTGATGCAGTATTGACTGTATCACCAAATAGACAATAACGTGGCATTTTTAAACCAATAACACCGGCTGCACATGGACCCGAATGTATACCAATACGTAAACGTACATCTTGTTCGGGTAAATGTTTTATACGAAATTTTTTTATCTGATCCAATAATTCTAATGACATACGGGCAATTTGTCTTGCATGTTCATTACCATTACGTATTGGTAGACCACTAACAACCATATAAGCATCACCAACTGTTTCAACTTTATAAACATCATAATTTGATATAATTGAATCAAATAATGTATATAAATCATTTAAAAAATCAACAATTTCCATTGGTGTACTTGCTGCTGCGATCTGTGTAAATTGTACAATATCCGAAAAAAATATCGTTACACATTGAAATGATTCAGGTTTTACTTGATTTTCTTGTTTCAATTGATCGGCAACTGTTTTCGGTAATAATTCATATAATAATTCTTCACATTTACGTTTTTCTTCAAAAAATGCAGAGGTTTTTTGTTCAACAAGTATTTCTAAATCATTTGCATATTGTTCCAGACGTAATAATAAATTTTCAAGAAAACTATTTCCACTACCACCAATATAATCTCTGTTATGAATTTGTAATGAAAAAAAAATAAATATTGATTACTAATCAATCAATGTCAATTTGATTTACTTGGATAATTTCCGTATCTGTGTACGTATTGTTGAAAATGTTGGACGATTTTGTGGATTTTCATCCCAACATTGTTGTAATAATTCAATCAATTCCGGTGCACATTCACGTTGATCAACATTCGGTCGATATGGTGTTTGGCCACCCAATTTTAATTGTTGTATGATGAATTGTGGATCCAACGAAACAACCGAATATTTACCATCACCACCAACAACTTTAACCGTTTCAAATGGACCACTACGTGTTATGATTTCCTGTAAAACAATACTAAAACTATAAACATCACCTTTTGGTGAACCATGTAAATCTGGACGACGTTGTCGTAAATGTTCCGGTGCTGTCCATAATAATGATTCTGTTTTTGAAAAATGAAAAATTTTTAAAATTAAAAAATATTTTTGGTTGAATGTAACCAATTTTTTACATACTATAATTTGGTAAACCAGAATTTTGTTTAGAAAGATTACGTAATGTACGTAAACCAATATCAGTTAATTTAACAACTAAACGTGAATCAATAACACAATTTGGTGATTTTAATGTACCATGAAAACCTAATGATGATTCATGTATAAATAATATTCCTTCAATAATATCATTTATTAATGAATAACGAAATGGCCAATCAATACGTATTGCTTCATTATCTAATAGATCCTATTTTTTGATAATAATAAGTGATTATAAAAAAATTATAAAAAATTATAAAATATAAAACAAAAAATAAAGAGAAAAAAAATATTTACCCGAAGATTTCCTTTTTCACAATATTCAGTTAATATTGAAATATGTTGATCTTCAGCACAAATACCAACAAATCTAATTAAATTTTCATGTGCTAAATCTTTAAGCTGTTTTAATTCAATTAATATTTCACGATTAATTGATAAATGTTTTATATTTAAATGTTTTATAAATAATTTTGATCCTTTATAAATTCCTTTATTTGGTAATGTTGTTAAAAATTGATCAAAACCAATTTGTTGTTTATTATTATTATTGTTATTATTATTTGTTGTTGTTGTTGATTGTCGATTGTTGTTTACCGATAATCTTGTTGTTGTTGTTGTTGTTGATTTTTTATCCATTGTTGAACGATTATTATTAACATCAAGATTTATATTATTTTTTGTTGTTGTTGTTGTTGTTGAAATTGTACGTTGACGATTTGATGATGAATTATTACTTAATTGTTGAATATAATTTGGTAATGTAAAATAATCATTAATTCTTATATGTGGTTTTGTTGTTGTTGTTGTCGATATTGTTGTTGTTGTTGTTGTCGGTATTGTTGTTGTTGTTGTTATAGATTTTTTTGACATTTCCGTTTGTTGTTGTTGTTGTTGTTCAGTCTGTGAAACAAAAAATAATGATTTTGATGTATCCAATGATCGATCACTTTGATTATGAATAAAAATTATTTCATTCCAACGTATTTTCCACCATAAACTAGTTAATTCTGATTCTAAACGTAAACGTCTAATCGAAAAAAAGGTTTTACAAATTTTTACAAATTGAAAAAATTTTACAAATAAAATCAATCAATCAATGTTTTACCTATAAATAAAAAATATAGCCATAAATAAGAAAATGGAAACAATACCGATACCGGCTAAAATATCCAATATTGGCCATGCTTTACCTAGAAATTGTGAATCTGAACGAAGAAATTTTCATTTTTTATATTGATTGAATTCGAATAAAAAACAAACTAAAAATCGCTTACTTGATTGATTACAATTCAAATCAATAATATCATTTTTACAAATATTTGGATCAGATATTTGTATTTGATTATTTGGCCAATGTATTGCTGTTAAATTTGACCAAATAATTTTATCATCTCTACCGGAATAAATTATTATCGATTTCATTTTGAATGTTATTGGATCAAAATCTTCTAATGTATAATCAGTTTCTTTATCACCATTAGCATTAATAAAAATATCACCACTTAAATAATCGCTAAATGTACGATTCCATAAACGTTTTGTTACTTCATTACCATCAATTGGATCATAACCATTCGATATTGTTTCAGTAACCGCAACACCATACATAATAACTGAATCATGAAAACCGGCTAATATAACATTAACATCTTTCATTGTAAATGATGTATTAAATTCATTACGTGATTTTTCAATTACATCATTAGCAAATTTTTGATACATTTCAGTCATTGGTACATGTACTGTTAATATAAATAATGATTCATACATATGTTTTACATCCTAATAAAATTTTGATTTTAAAAACATTAATGAAAAACTTACAATCCAAAAGCAAACAAACAAAACAAACAAACAGAAAATCACTTACATCATTACGTGTATCATTAATAACAAACCAATCAAAATTACCAAATGAATTTGCATGTTTAAATAATTCAACAGTTAAAAAAACATAACCACCATTACCCATTTGTAAATCAAATGCAGCTAATAATATTTGTCGTAATGTTTCACCGGTTGTTAATATTAATATTACTTGAAATAGAATAGAAAAAAGGATTTTGTAATTAAAAAATTTTGTAAAATTTTTTTTAAAAAATGAATTTACCACGTGATTCTTTTGCACAATCAATTAATAAATTTTTAAGATTAGTTTTAGCCAATGAACGACTAATATCATGTGTTTCAATTTCAATATCAGTTTTCGAATCAAACATATCAATAATAGCTTCTTTAATTAATGGTATTAATGGTGATGATATTTTATCCTGTACAATAATAGCCATATGTTTCCATTGAAATTTTTCGAAAATTTGTGTAACAAATGAACCAAGATTTGTTAATGAAAATGATAACCGGGTTAATGTACTGAATATTTCTTTATTTGAAAATTGTACATGTGGTCCACCTGAACTAATAACAGGTATGCGCCAATGTGATGCCATTCGTGCTACTGGATCTAATGCTAATCCACTGGATTGATTGGGCAAAAAAGACATTGAATTTTCAATCAGATCAAAGGGCAAAATGCCAAAAAAAGAAAAACATACCATGATGGACCAATAAAAACAGTAACACGTCTTAAATAAAATTCTTCAGCAGCAAAAACACCGGCAAAATTTGATGTACAACGATTAGAACCATTACGAAATACAGCATTTTCCCAACGTATCGATGGAAATAAACGTTTAGCTTTTTCAATAGCAATATTAATGGATGGTTTTGCCAATTCCAATGTATATGGTAATTCAGAATCGGCAACAAATATACCAACAATTCTAACCGGGAATGGATTTGTTTCATTATAATAATTTGATTTTGGAATAATATTCGATGAATAATCATCATTATTATCATTACGATGATGATAATGATGATGATGACCATTTTGATGAATTCTAATCCATTCACGTGTTGATGGTGTTAATTTTGTTGTTAAATTTGGACAATTTAGATTCGTTTGATCGATTGGATAATGATGAAATTGATCAATTTGATCATCACCTTCATCATCATCTTCATTATTTAATTGATTATTATTAATCAATAAATCAATACTATCGATCTTTAAAATGATTGTAAAAATTTTATAAAAAATTATTATTATAACCAATAGATTATATTTAAACATATTGATTTTGTTTTTTTTTCAAACGATTCGATTAGATTAACAACTAGATTACGAATGAATTTCGATTTTTTTTGGAATCGAATCTTCGATCGATCGATCGATCGATACCAATTGGTGGAAACAAAACGAACAAACAAACTCTGCCCAAACATTACCGTGTAGTGAATGGGGTTAACGTTTTTCATTTTTTTTTCATTTTTCATTGCCATCAACAAAACAAAACAAAACAAACAAATTGATTATTTCATTTCAATTTCAATTTTGTAGATCAACAAAAACAAAATGAACCAGAAAACAAATGATGAAAACAAAAACTTAATTTAATTGTAATTATCGTTTTTTTTTACAAAAATTGATCCACCCTTAGTGTTTTGTTTGTGTTAAATAATCATCAATTGATTATCAATTGATGATTATTTAATCCCTGAATTTATTTATTTTCTTCTGCCAACTTTGTTCGGAAGCAAAAATGAAACATTTTTCATTCCAATAATAATGGTGGATTAAGAATGTGTCAAAATTCTTTTACCATCATCATCACTATCGATTGTATCGATTTTTTTAATCGATTTTGTTTTTTTGAAAAAATTTTAAAATTTTCTGGAAAAAATTATGAAAAAAAGTGTTCAATTTGTTTCATTTTTCATGTTTTTTTCAGGATAAATTCTTGTTGTTGTTGTTGTTGTTTGTTTACATTTTGGGTGTCAAATTTCCAAATAAAATTCCTAATTGAAAAAAAAATCGATCGATCGATCAATTGATTGATTGGATTGATCAAATTGAAATTGGCAGCAACAAAAAATAAATTTCAAAAAATTTCGGAATCAAATAATGTTGCTGCTGTTGTAGTTTCCGATTTCATCATCCAAATTCTACAGAATATTCTCAATAAAAAACTGATCAGAAAAAACAGAGTTTCGCCCAAGTTCATTCAAATAAACAAAAAAAATTTCAGAAACTTTTCTTTTTTACAAAATCCGATTATAATTCTCTCTCTCTCTCTCTCTAGCTCCCATAGCTTTTTCTCATTTGGATTTGATCAAGGAAAACGCAAAAAAACCAAAGGAAGGAAAAACTAAAAGGAAAATTTTTCAAATAAACTTAAATTATCGTTATTATCGTTTTATATGGTTATAAAATGTCATTATAATTCTTTGCTTTCTTTCTTCTTTGACTTGTCACATTCAAATAATGTTTTTGTTTGTTTGTTGTTGTTTTAGTCAAAAAACAACAGCAACAACAACAATACAGGTAACCTTAGAAACCAACAGCAGCAGCAATGACAGAATATTCTGCCTGGTTGGCTGGTATTTTATGGGGGGTAAAAAAAACGAAAAAAATCTAGGCATGAACAAACGAATGAATAAATGCCAGTCAGAAAAACAAAACAAGAAGAAAAAAATCATTAGAATAATAAAGATATGAATGAAAGTAAAAAAGGATATATATCCCCTTGATTCTCCAAACACGGTGTGCGTTCAATTCATATGCTGAAAAAATAAAATATGGATCTCTCTCTCTCTCTCTTGGTTTTTTTTCCCAGTTTGATATAATGATAATCATCTGGTAATCTGTTTATCATCAATGTTTTCATCATTTATCAATGTTCATTATTAATTGAAGAAGAAAAAAAAGAATGGAAAAAACATTGACAAAGCCAATATTATCATCATCATCATCATCATCATCATTGGATGATAGTTTAAGCAGCAGCAGCAACAGCAACAGCAGCAACAATGACAGTGAAAACAATAACGACAACAACAACAACAACAACAACAACAACAACAACAACAACAACAGTAGCAGTAATGAAAGTAATCAAACAATTTTTTCAATTCATAATGGTCAATATAATAATAATAATCATAATATTGTAATCGATAATCAATTGATTAATGGTGATGATGTTGTTGATGTTGAACAAATACAATCCAATAATGATCAACAACAGCAACAGCAGCAACAACAACAATCATTATTATTATTGAAACCATCATCAACATCAACATCATCAATATCGTTGGATTCAACAAAAACAACATGTTTATCTGAAATATCATCATCATCAATGAATCCGCAACAATTATCATCAACGACATCATCGTTGTTGTTGCATAATAATCAACAACAACAACAAAAACAACAACAACAACAAAGACAAGTATTACCACCGGTTACATATGAACAAATACAAAAAAATCGTTTTATACATGGTTCAAATATATTTGGTGAATCATTTTTTAGCCAAAATGAATTGGAACGTTTTTTTCCAAATCATAAAATACGTTTATCAATTATAACATGGAATATGGGTTCAAAACCACCAAATGATTATAATCAATCATTACAAGAATTATTACATTTGAAACCATATCAACCAATAAAATATGGACAATTAAATTTACCTGAAATATTTGTAATTGGTTTACAAGAAACACCAAATTCCGAAATGATTGTTAATAGTTTAAAAGTTGGTATACAAGCAGTATTAGGACCAAATTATTGTCTATTACGTTGGTCATCGGTTGGTGTTTTACATAGTTCAATTTGGTTACGTAGAGAATTATTATGGTCATGTACAACGGTTAATATGATACCAGTACATATGCGGCCAATGGCTGCTAATCGTATACGTACAAAAGGTGCTATTGCATTATCATTTAGTTTATTTGGTACATCATTTTTATTTATAAATACACATTTAACTGCACATGAAATTAATCTCAGGTCACGTATGAATCAATTGGATAAAGTACAACAGATTTTAAATTTAAGAAATCAATCAAAATCAAAATCGGAAATTAATTTAGCAACAACAACAACAGGAACAACAAACTCAACAACAGCAACAACAAATTCAATCAACAACAACAACCGTAATAATAATAAAAAAAATCATCAACAACAACAACAACAAAATTCATCAGAATTTATATTCTGGTTTGGTGATTTAAATTTTCGTTTAGAATTACCGATTGATATTGTTATGGATGCAATACGTCGTATTACGAATACAAATAATTCAGGTATGTGTGTAAATTGATTTTTGATTTTTGATTTGTAAAATTTTTGTAAAATTTATAAAAATTTTTTTAGAAACAAAAGATACATATCTACGTAAAATGATGCGTTCAGATCAGCTAAGTAATCTAATGAATAGAGGTATTATATTTAATGAATTTAATGAAGCACAATGGCCACCACCATTTTTACCAACATATAAATGTCGTATTAATCATCCATTAAATGATTCATTTGATTCAAATCCAATTGATCATTTTGTTCCAAATAATAATAATGATAATAAACAGAAACAAAAATTGGAACAAAATTTTACAAAATCAATATCAATATCATCAACAACAACATCATCATCATTTGAATCATCATCCGAATCATCATCAACATCATTATTATTAAATAATAATAATAATAATAATAATTTTTCAACAAAATTAATTAATAATAATAATCATGATGATAATAATGGTCAAGATAATAATAATCATAATGGTCAAGATAATAATCAAGATAATAATAATGATGAAGTTACAATCATAACAACTACAACTACAAATAAATTATCATCAGTAAATAATAGTAATAGTAATAGTAATAGTAATAATAACGATAATAATAATAATGATAATATGGATGATGATAATATTGTAAATAGTTATAATTATGAATCTGGTCGTGTACCATCATATACTGATCGTATTTTATATCGTACAAAATTATCATCATCATCATCCGCAAATCAATTAATTAATGGAGATGATAATGATAAAAATAATGTTTTTATAAAATGTATTTATTATAATTCAATATCAAATATAATTAGTTCGGATCATAAACCTGTTTATGGTTTATTTGAAGTAAAATTAGATGCCGGTTATTATCCAATGTCAAAATTACAACAATCATCAACAACATCAGCAATGAAACATTTTACGCAATTGATTGATGAAATATATTTGGAAAAAGAAAAATCAAATAGTAATGAACAACAGCGACAAAAACTACAAAAACAATCATCATCATCGGGTGATTTAACAAATATAGAATCAATGAATCAGCAACAGAATCAAACAAAACATCGACGAAATCATTTTCGTCGTCTTGTTGATCGTCATGTTTTTAAAAAATCTAAATCCAAATTATTGAATGATAATAACAGCAGTAACAGTAACAGTAACGGTAATGAAAATGATAAAATTCTTGATAATCTTGATATAATGGATATGATTATGATGAATCAAAATGAAAATGAATCAACATCGATTGCAAATCATCGTCAATGGTCAAATCGTATTGGCCAATTGAATGCAGGTGCTTATGAACGAAAAATCTATATGGAAGGTATGCGTTTACGTAATAATCTAATGCAAAGTTCAAGTATGGAAGAAATACGTTATAATACAACAATTATGATGAATAATGCAGTGAATACTATACGTATGAAACAACAAAAAAATCAAAAATTATTAGAACAAAATGGTAATCAAAATCAACAAAATCAACATCAACTATTTAAATCACATTCATTAGAATCAAATCATTTTATAATAATGAATGATAAAAATGAACAACAACAACAACAACAACAACAACAACAATCAGCAAATTCAAATTCCAAACAACAACAACAACAAAAATCATCAGGAATAAGTAAAAAAGAATTGAAAAATCGTAAAAAAGAAAATATTAATGATCATAATAGTCGTATCTGTTGTATTATGTAATAATTTCCGAAAATATTTTCCAAAAACTTCACACAAACACCCGATACACACTCCTCCCACACAAAAAACAATACCCGGTAAAACAAAAATATGAAAATTTTTCAAATTTTAATTTTTTATGTAAATTTTTTTGTTGTTTTTCGAAAAAAAATAATGAAACAAAATATTTTTATTCTTTCTTCTCTTCCTTCGCCTCTATTCTTTCTCTGTGATCTGATAATGACAAATTAAAAAAATTTTTTTGTTGTTGTTTTTATTGTTGAAAGGCTTTTTTTATATTTATTTATCTTGTTGTTGTTGTTGTTGTAATTTTTTTGCTCGAACTTGTGATTGTTTTTGAGCAGCGGTTAAACGTTGTTGTCCAGGTAATAATGATGCATTATTCGATGATGATGTTGATGATGATGACGATGATAGCGATGATGATGATTTTGTTTTACCAGATTGTTCATCACGAATACGACGTTCCATTTCACGTTTTTGATTAGCTTCTTCACGTTGTTTACGTATCAATTCTAAACGTGCTAAATCAGCTTTAGCTTGATCAGTTTTACCTTCGGCATGTAATTTTTGATATCGTTCTTTTGCCTGTTGTTTTTCAACTTCTTCACGTTCACGACGTGTTAATTGTACTTGTTCTATATTTAAATTTTAAAACAAACAAAAAAAATTAATTTTATTCTAGGGTTTTTTTTTGGCAAAACATTTTACATACCAGTTGGTGGAGCACGACGTGGATTACGATTTGGATTTTCAATTTCAATCAAACCAGAAACACCTTTTGGTTTGACAATTTTATTATCATCATCATCATCATCACTTGAATCATCATCGGATCCAGGTTCTCTTTTTTCTTCAATCGTATCATCATCATCATCACCTTTCATATGTAATTGACTCATTTGTTGTTGTATTTCTTCGGGTGATGAAAAATGACGTCGTTTTCCTTTGTGGCTAGCTAAAAAATGATTTGATTGAAAAAAAAGAAAATTAAATAAATTTGAAAAAACCCATAAAAAATTCTTTAACAAACTTTTTCTTGGTGGTGCCATGATTTATTTAGATTATTTAGTTTAAATTTATTTGGTCTAGAATCAAAAAATAATTTTAATTAAATGAAATTTTAATGATATAATTATCGTAAACACACAGACAAAACAGACAAAAAGCGTGCTTCAAAATACGCAACGTTGACTCAATCAATACTCAAAAAAAAATACAGTTGTTGTTCGAATACATATTCTATGAACGGATATTTGATCGAATATAAAAAAAAAAACATGAATCATGAAACAAAAGTTATGTTGCAACATAGTCAACATTAACCTAACCTAACTTGACTATAAGTCAGAGTCATAGTCATCATCAACCTAACCTAACCTAACTTGACTATAAGCCAGATTCACAATCATCAACCTAACCTAACCTAACTTGACTTTTTTCAAAAAAAAAAAAAAAAAAATTTTTTTTCTTTTTCAAAATTTAAAAAACAGATGGAGCGGAATGATCACAATGAAATTGATGATGATTTATTTTTTGAATCATAAATTTTATTTTTTATTTTTTGTTTTGAAAAAAAAGGCATAAATCAAATTAATGTTAAATGTAATTAAACATACACAACTAGGTAAAAAAAGGTAAAAAAATCAGGTAATTTAATGAAAAATGTGTTTTTTTTCCAAATGAAAAATGAACGAACATATATTTTCTTGGTTAGTTTTAATCGAAAAAGAGAAAAAAAACAAACAAACATAAATTATTCAAACAAACAAAATCCAAAATATCCAAAAGACAGAATTGGAAGAAAAAAATTTTTAAATTTTTAAATTTTAAAAAAATTTTAAAAATAAAATCGATTTTCTTTCTGGTGGCACTTGGCAACTAATGATGATTACAAACGAAAAACCGACTAGAATGTTTTCTCTTCCCACTCAAGGAATGAAAAAATGTTCTTGTTGTTGTTGTTGTTGTTTTTTCCAGTTTCATTTTGGATCATNAAATTAAATAAATTTGAAAAAACCCATAAAAAATTCTTTAACAAACTTTTTCTTGGTGGTGCCATGATTTATTTAAATTTATTTGGTCTAGAATCAAAAAATAATTTTAATTAAATGAAATTTTAATGATATAATTATCGTAAACACAGAGAGACAAACAGAAAAAAGCGTGCTGCAAAAATACGCAACGTTGACTCAATCAATGCTCAAAAAATACAGTTGTTGTTCGAATACGTATTCTATGAACGGATATGATCGAATAAAAAAAAACATGAATCATGAAGCAAAAGTTATGATCAACATATAGTCATTAACCTAACCTAACTTGACTATAAGTCAGAGTCACAGTCATCAACCTAACCTAACCTAACTTGACTAATAAGCCAGATTCACAGTCATCATCAACCTAACCTAACCTAACTTGACTTTTTTCGAAAAAAAAAAAATTTTTTTTTTTCTTCAAAATTTAAAAAACAGATGGAGCGGAATGATCACAATGAAATTGATGATTTATTTTTTGAATCATAAATTTTATTTTTTTATTTTTTGTTTTGAAAAACATAAACATAAATCAAATTAATGTTAAATGTAATTAAACATACACACACAGTTCAGGTAAAAAATCAGGTAATTTAATGAAAAATGTGTTTTTTTTTCAAATGAAAAACGAACGAACATATATTTTCTTGGTTAGTTAATCGAAAGAGAAAAAAAAACAAACATAAATTATTCAAACAAACAAAATCCAAAAGACAGAATTGGAAATTTTTTTTTTAAATTTTAAATTTTTAAAATTTAAAAATCGATTTTCTTTCTGGTGGCACTTGGCAACTAATGATGATTACAAACGAAAAACCTACTAGAATGTTTTCTCTTCCCACTCAAGGAATGAAAAATGTTCTTCTTGTTGCTGTTGTTGTTTTTCCAGCTTCATATTCAGTTTGGATCATCAATAATTCTGTGTCGTTCTTTTTTTGCAGACATATTACGTTGTTAGTTTAGTCAAATTAGTCAAGTTAGTTTTGGCACAGGGGTTAAATATTCTTCATTTAGTTTTTTTAAACCAAGTTGAAACCAGGATTCAAAACATTTTCCAGAATGAAAATGTTATGGTCATTGATGATGTTGGTGATGCTGGTGATGATGATTGTATTAGTTGAATGTCGTCATCGAATATCATCATCATCATCATCAACGGATATTGATCAAATACAGAAAAAATTATGGGATTATCGTGGTCCGATTGGTGAACGAAATTGGGATAAACATTATCGTCATTGTAAAGGACGTTATCAATCACCAATTAATATTGAAATGGATCGTATTGTTTATGTACCAAATTTACAATTATCATTTATTAATTATGATAATTATCTTTATTCAATGCGTATGACTAATAATGGTCATGGTGGTAAGATTTTTTTGTTTGTTTGGTTATTGTTTTAACAGCGTTTTGATGTTGTCGATGTTTGCTTGTTGTTTGTTTGTTTGTTTTTTTTTCAAATTAGTAAAATTACATCAACCAAACGATATGATTGATGATGAACGTAATGATCGTCTTGGTTGTTTCATTACTGGTACAGCATTAAATAATGATATATATCGTTTTTTACAATTTCATTTTCATTGGCGTAATTCACATTCAAGTGGTTCGGAACATGCAATTGATGGACGTAAATTTACAATGGAGGTTTGTTTTGTTGATCCTAATATTAAACATTAATTAATCCGAAAATTTAATCCTTTCTTCTTCAATCAAAAACTCAAACTAAAATATTAGATGCATATTGTACATCAAAATGTTCGTTATGATAAAAATGAAGCATTATTTAATCGTATTTTAGCTGGTGATTTATTCACTGTAATTGCTGTATTTTTTAATGTAAATTATACGATAATTAGTTGATTATTATGATCATTTACAATGTTTACTAACTACAAATTGATTTTTTTTGTTTGTTTTTATATTTATAGGAAACTGATCATCATAATCATGATTTAGATCCAATTATTAAACATTTACATAAAATAATTAATATTGATAGTGAATATACATTGGAACAACCAATACAGTTGAAAAATTTATTACCAATTGAAAAACAAATAAATTTTTTACGTTATTATGGTTCATATACAACACCGGATTGTCAAGAAATTGTAACATGGATTATCTATCCAAAACCATTGGATATAACATCCGAACAGATGCAAAAATTTCAAGAATTATTATTCAATACAACACATAATCATCGCCATCATCACCACCATCATCATCAGCACCATCATGAACATCAACATAATCATCAACGTAAACATCATCAATCATCATTGATAAAAAATAAACGAAAAAAAATTCATGAAAAATTTCATAATAAAAATAGACCAAAACATGAACAGGAAAATGACGATGATACGAATGACAACAACGACGACGACGATGATTATTCAGCCGAAAGTAATGAAGATTCTACCATCAACAACGATAATGATAATGAAAATGATCTGGATAATGATGAAACATTTGGCTATTATCGTCATATACAGGAATTAGGTTCAAGAAAAATCTATGCACCAATGCAATCATATGGTACGAAAATTTTTCCTTCATCATCATTATTGATAATTATTTTGTCAATTTTGTTTTTTTCTGTTTTGTTTTTTGATTGATTGATTGAAATAAAAAAAAATCTAATTTTGTTTCACTGAAATATGAAAATATTATCGAAAGATGCTAATGATGATTTTAAAGCAATTTCGGCTGCTTTATAATTGAATTTTTGTTTTTTGTTTTTATCATCATTATCATGATGATAAAACATCATTTTGGATGGCGCCTTATCAACAACAACAACAACAAGGTGTGTTTTCAGATTTTAATCATCATAGTCATTTTCATCAACATTTGCAACTAATTCAATTTTCAATAAACTGAACATCAAACATGTCATGTTTTATAAGCCTATATTTTCTTTCATTTAAAGAAGAAGAAAAATTGATTGAACAGAATTTCATCGCCATCGTCGTTCAATTCGGGATTAATCAAATTTTTTTTATCCAAACGGTAAACACTGTGTGCGTGTGTTCGTTGAAAACGAACAAATTCCACAAATTCTTTATTTATTTTTATTCTTCCAATAACATCATTCATCAAAGACAGAATACGAAACAAAATATAAAATTCTTTCAACCAAACGAAACGAACCGAACGAATGAACGATGAAAATCATTCATCCATTCAATTTAATTTTCTTTTTACATTTTCATTCTTCTGATGATAGTGAAATATGTCCAAAAAAAAAATGAAAAAAATAAAAATTTGATTACAAAGATTCTATAAGTTTCTTGTGCGGAATTGATGGTTACATCATCATCATCATCTTCCTAAGATGTCGTCAATCGTTTTTTTTCCTATTTCCCTACTTTTACTTAAATTCCTATACAGAATTACTTAATTTTTTTCATTTTCATTTTTTTTCGTAGAAAAATGAAAAGATGGTTTGTTCCGGATCATAAAATACGCATGTGCGGTAACGCACAAAACATTAACCAAATTGAAATAGATTTTTTGTTTCTTCACTACTGCTACAATGTGTTTGTGTTTGTTTGTGTGTGTGTATTGAAAATAGATTGAGAATTTAAGAGAATATTCTTTCTTTCTTTCTGGCGTCTGCAATCAAGAATATCTATGTGTGTGTGTGTAGGTATCATATGCAAGGAGTTGACTCGTTGAACTATTTCCGATAAAAACAAAGAAAAAGAATCACGAGAGACAGAAAAAGAAAAATCCCAAAATAAAATCCATGATCGATGTACGAAAATTTCATCATCAGTGAAAAAATGGTTTTTTTTTCATCTGTTTTCCTCGAATAAACAACAACAACAAAAAATCCAGCCAGTTAATCGATTGATTCAATTTTTGTATGATGATTTTGATAAAGAAGAAGTTCAGTGGTTTGTTTTTTTGTTTTGGTCATCATCATCATGCTTGGCCATTGTCCAGCTGACTGACTGATTGAGTGACTGACATTGAAAACTAAACAAATGAATGGAAAGAAAATCTTACGTTTAGGTTTACAGGCGACAGGGAAAAAAACAACATAATGAAGGCCACGCTATCTGCGCGGCCAGCCACCGATTCAAAAAAAAAAAAGCCGGTCTTTTCTTCGAACAAATAATATATCATCAATCGACCTTGTTGCGCTTGCTACTGCTATGATCATCATCAATTTGTAAAACTTGTGGCTCAAATTTTTTTTCTTGTGTGTCCTTATAAAATTGGTGTGCATGGTGTGTTTATCATATTGGCAAGGAATGGAAAATTTCATTCTCGTTTTTTTTCAACAAAAATAACATTGTTTCAAGCAAACAAACAAACGACAACAAACAGACATCCATAGATGAATAATAACACTGTGTTATCATCAACATCGTTACCATCATTATTATTATCATCATTATCGTCGATTATATATGGTTACCCAGACACTAAATAATCAAAATGGACTCGTCGTCGTCGTCGTCGTAGTTAGCATCGAAATATCGTTGTTGTTGTTGTTGTTGTTGCATGCTTTTATCAATCAACATCAACATCAATATATTTGATTGATGTTGATGATCTTTGGACCTTGTTAACAAACCCCAAAATCTACCAGTGAACGAAAACAATCCCTCTACCACCACCACCACCACTCCCCACTACTGCTACAACCAAAACCAAAAAACAGCAACAACAACAACAAACATTTGTTGTTTGTTTTTCTCCTGATTTCAATGAAGGAAGAATATCATTTTTTTTTTGCTCATCATCATCTTATCACCACCATCAACATCATTATCATCATCAACAACAAATTTTACTGGGTTAAGATTCTAATTTTGTCATCATCATCATCATCATCATCAAATTATGACCTGGAAATATATTTTTATTATTATTAAGTTACAAGAAAGACAAAAATGTCTTAATTTGCCAACAACAACAACAACTTGGTTATCCAAATGATGATAACAAACAACGCACCAATATCACTCAAGAAACCTGATGATGATGATGACTTAGCTACGACGACGACGATGATAATGTTATGCTATGGGATGTGATGTGAAAACTTTCTAAATTTAAAATAATTTGTTTTTTTTTCGGTTCGTAAAGTGACAACGAACTTTATTTGGTTTTTTTGTTTTTGTTTTTTGCTTTTGTCGGTTTGTCGGTTTATCAGTTTGTTTTACTTTCCGAAAATTGTCGTCATCAAGCGAAAAAAAATTCTCTAAACGCCTACGATCAATTTTTGTGTTATGAAAAAATTCATGATGAATATTCTGGTCTGTCACAAACACACACACCGAGAGAGAATTAACGAAAATTTATTTTAAGAACAGAATATATGTTTGCTATTTTAACGAAACAAACAAAGTAAGTAATTTTCCTGAAAAGTAATGAATCTTTTTTCATTATCAAATTTAAATTGATTGAATGATTTTCTCTCTCTTTTATTCACAAATCGACATTTGGGTAGAAATAGATATCATTATCATCCATTCATTGTTGTTGTTATTTTGAATGATTCGTTTGTTTTTTCCTGTTCGGCTATTTTGACAAGTTTGAAAATTATTATCATTATTTGAATGAGAGAAAAATTCATTGCATTGACATTCTGTATAAGTGATGTGATGTGTGTGTGTGGTTGGATTATTTTGTAATAATGCGTTGTTGGATGCTTAAACTCGAAGATAGAAAGAGAGAGAGAGAGAGAGAAAAGCAAAGCTTGCTGAAATCATCATCATATGAAATGTGATAACTTTTTTGACTTTAGATTGAACTTCTTCCCAATTTATTTTCTCTCTTTTTTTTGTTTGATTTCCTCTAGCAATGTTTTTCTTCTTCTTCTTTCTTATTATTACAAAAACAAATTCTCTTTACAAATTTTCAACAACAACAACAAATGGATGCTTAAATGGAGATGCAAAAAAAAAAATGTATTCAATTCATTCATTTTATTCGTGTGTGTGATGAATGAATGAATGAATGAACAGTGAAATTGTCTTGTGTCTGTGTTGTTTGTTTGTTTGTTGTGTGTTGAAATTTGATTTCATTTTTTTTTCGGTATGCTAAACACCCGAAATAAATACCTGAAGCTAAATTCATTTTGTAATTTGGAAACAACCAAAAAAATCGAATCAGATTTATTTCATGTTGGACATTTGGACAATGTTTTTTTCCAAGTTTGATTTTCTCTTCTCTTTCTTCGATTGTTTGATTGATTGATTGATCTTTTTTTTTTGTTTTTGACATTGATTTTTTTTTTCTTTCCATTGTTTGATTTATCAATCAAATTCATTTTGATTAAACAAAACAAAACAAATGCCGCAACCGCAACGATTGATCACAATTGATCCGTCACAAAGTTCTTTCTTCAAAAGATTTTCGTGGTAAGTAATAGCTGAATATAACTGTGAAAAAAAATTTGAAAATTTGAAAAATTAAAAAATCCATTTTGCTTCTGGCAAATATCGATTATCATCATCGTTAGCTATTTATTTATTCATTCCAAAAAGAAAGAAAAAGAAAAATTCATTATCGGATGATGATGATCATCATTTCGTCAAGTTCTAGATCCATATGATTATATTTATAAAAAAAAGCTTATGTTTTTCAATTTGCTATAAACATCCAAACTGAATAATGAAGAAAAAATTAATTTTATTCAAGCTAAATTTATGTTTTTCTTTTTCCGAAAAAAAATTCATTCATTCACTTTTTCCCCCCAAAAACGATAAAAGTACGAACAGAAAAACAAAATTCATTTTGCTCAAAATGATTTATTCATTCATTCATTCAATTCGATTGAAAATAACCATCTTTGCAACTCTCTCTTGGGCCATTTCAAATTTTCATTCAAACCCAAAAACCAAATCTACCACATTTTTTTTTGTTTCGCTGTTTTTGAAATGGTTATATATGTGAATACTGATTAGATCTGTTCAGTTAATCAATCAATCAATCAATCAATCAATTTGATCTATTGAATTGTTTGAGGCCAGTAGAAGTTTTTTTCCCAAAAAAAAAACATTTCAACAAGTTTCTTCAAACGAAAAAAAAGATTAAAAAAAAGTGTAAAATGATTATCCAAAATGGCCATTAAAGGATGCTAGTTTAGTTTAGTTTAGTTTTCACACCCATTTATTAACACCGCCATCGCTATTATTTTAATGAAAAAATAATGTGAAAATCCTATTTCGACAACAACAACAACAACAACTTGCAAAAAGTAAAAGTTACAATTCAAATTGCAAAAAGCCACATGATCAATCGGTTGGACTTTTTCTGTTTTTCTACAAGCTTCTTGCTAAAGATAATCGTCTTTAACAAAACAACAAAACAAAAAGCTAATGATAATTAAGAAGATTATTTTCACATTTTTTCAAATAAAGATTTTCTGGATTTTCTTTTAGTTATTTAGTTTAGTTTGACAAAGTGGTAACTTGAATTGGATTTTTGGATCAAAATTTTCAATTTGAAAAAAACTCCCAAAACAAAACAGTGTTAAAAAAATCCTTCTTCAGTGTGCCAGTGTTAATGATGAAATATATTATGTTATTGTTGTGTTTGTTTGTTTCAATCATCATCTGATGATTTATCTATTTGTTTTGTTTTGTTTTGTACGTGTAAAAATAAGAGAGAAATGAAAAAACACGTGCAAAACACACACATATAATGATGTAATCCATAAAGGTCCATGCTGCTGCTGCTTTGGTCATTATCATCATCA